TCACCATTGTCACCCTCCCAGTTGACAGCTTGGGATTGATCCACATGAAGAAGGTTGTGATAGCATAGAAGATCCAGCTGCAGATTGTCTGTGTGTTTTGCTTGCACAAGCCATTGGTTGATGTCCAATCTGATGCTGAAGACCAAAGGTTGTCCATCTGATCCATAGTACTCTTGGGTCTGCTCCCCTTCAATATCCCAGTCTTAAAACTCTAGAGACAGAGTCTCATCTGATTCATGCCAGGAATTGGATGAGAGCAGGAGGGCAGGTTGAGTGAGAGGAGGGGCACAGGCACTCAAATTTGTCTGGGTATGAGCTTGCAGATCAAGCAGATGAGCCAGTTCTTGTGTGCTGATGTGTGTTGACATGTACAAGAAACTGATCCATGCGCCTAGCCTTGAAATGATTTCCCCCTTTGCATACCTTGCACCTGCCCAGGTGCTGAATGGGGTCAATCTCAAAGTCTACAAGATGTCCACTTAGCACCATTGTGAGAGCAAGACATGAGCTTACCACATGGATCTAACTCTATAGGTCTCTTGCAACCCATAGTCCTGAGAACATACAATAGCAATAGGCTTGGGCAGCCAACATGAGTGAGATCAAGACACCATGAGATCGAGAGATAGAAGACATGAGGCAGGGATTTAGCACATGGTGTTCTTCAAGAAGCATACAGGTTTTTGCATGGAGCTGTGCAACCCACACCAAGCTCACCCATTGTCACCACCACCTCTCACAGGACTCTTTAACATCATGTCATCAACACAGGTGATTTCTCATGGGGGCACAGTCCTGATTGAGGTGAACATCACCAGAACCAACCCAGTGGTGAGCTCCATCTCCATACATTCTACTCGCCAGTCTGACATCAATTACAAGCATCTAAAGATACCGACAACAAGGGAAACACATGCATCCATCATTACAAAAGGATGAATGCATACAGAGGAGAGGAGCAGACTGAGGAAGTTAGGGAAGAGAGGATGTACAAAGCTAATGGACCTTACAGTTGGCTGTCGGTGAGTGCCGGGAACTCAGACAAGAAGGATGATGTGGAACTCAGCAATGTGGTGTGTCACCAGTGTCAATCTGCCTCCATATGTCTAGTACCTATGGTCAGAACATGGAGAAACCCCACAGAATGCCCCCTTCATTGGTCTTGAAGCATATGAGGATGATCATCAGCAAACCCACTGGTATCAGGGGCAGAAAGTTGGCCTCTTCACCTCATATGTTATACATGTGGGACTGTAAGTGCAGGCAGTTGGAGGAGATGAATCATTCAGATGTAATGGAGGAAGTTGAATCACAGGTAGATGATGCAGAGAATGCAGAGGCAGAGGTAGAAACCAGTGAAACTGTGCCCACCTGCCCTGATAGTGTAGATTTGTAATCTGGTGGAAGGCATGCATGGGGATCATTCAGATGATGGTACAGTTAAATGACATGGTATTGTGATGACCTTTAAGGGATCTCAGAGAAGAATGGAGACATATATTGGAGTGAGAGGAGAGGCTTCCTACTTCAAGAGTACATGGGTAGAACAGAATTAGAAAACACTGGCAAGGTGTGTGCAGCCTGTGGAGAGCAACCCAGCAACACCAAGGACAGCATGTTTGCAGGCCTGGATGGTACCCTCCCTGATATCCATAACCAAACCCATGAAGACCTCACCCTGCCTCTCGCCAATAGTGTCCAGAGCATCATTGCATGAGAAGAGGCTGACGTGCAGTTGCCAAAGCGCCTTGGCTTCCTCCTGGCTGAGGTACTTGCTGCCAAAAATGCAAGGTGGGTGAGAGATGGAGGTGTGGTGACTGAGAGCTGCAGACAAGTCCTTGTCTGCAACTTGAGGTTGAGAGATGGAGGTGTGGTGCCCAAGAGCTGCAGAAGAGTCTTTGTTCATGACTTCTGGATGAGAGATGGAGGTGTGGTGACCAAGTGCACTAACCGCAACTGGGTGGTTGAGAAATTCTAACAACAAATGTGAGCAATCATGGGTGAAAAAGATGACTACCACTAACCGTCAAGTCCCAACATGCTGGAACTGCCTGGAGAATAATGTCAGCAATGGATGATCACAGTATAAGTAAATCCATACAGGTGACTATGGCAAGAATATGGTGGTCCTCTGTAAAACTTAGGTTGATGCAGGTAGTGGCTTGTTGAGGGCAGAGGAGAAGTGCATGGAAGACACACATCCACCCCCTGTGTGGCATATCCCAGGTATTGCTTCCAGCCTTGTGCGGAGTCAAAAGGATACAAGTCCCATGTGTTGTCTTCATTAATGATGTGGAACTTTAACCCTAATAATAAATATGACTATACCTCTTTAAGCACCCAAAACACCATTGAAGGAATGTTGGCTGAGGCAATGATGACCAGGTCAGAGTTGTCAAAGTTGTAGGAATATGGTGCTTCAATTTAGCAGTGCACAAGAATTGAAGGCTCATGTTGTGAAGAAGACTTGTCTGCAGCTCTCAGTCATCACACCTCCATCTCTCATCAAGAGACAAAGACAGGCAACTAATAGAGGGTTCGGCCCAGTGACCACACCTCCATCTCTCATCCCAGGAGGAGGATTGCCCATTAAGAATATTTGGGGCACCATGTAATCTATCATCTGTGAAGGGGAGATTGAGCAAGCAAATGGGGCGTAACATACAAGATGCCTGTCTGTGAAGTTTGATGGACAAGTATGATCTGAATTTGTTAGTTGATCTAATACTTACAGTATTATGTTAGTATATAATACAACATGGAGAATGAAGGCTGTTGAGGAGTATTCACACATGCCCAGGAATGGATGGGCAAGCCCCTAAGTGCATTGCCCCTGCTGTTTTTCTGGCCGACGCAGGACTCTCTCTTCATCTATCACCTTCAGGTATGTCTACACACTATGCTTACCTTAAAATTACTGACTTGAGTGCATATATACTTAGCAAAAAAAGACTTCATCATCTTGAGACATGCCTGTCATGATGGGTTGGGTTGGGTGTCATGCAGGGGTGGGAACAAGGCTGGGTGGAGGACGTCGGAGCAGTGGAAGTGGGGGTGGGGATGTCAATGGAGCGGTGGGGTCATTGACCAAGATGATGAACAACATGAGGGATGCCAGTGTGGTGGAAAGGTGCATGGTGCGCAAGATGCTTGATGAGGAGTGGGCATTGGATGGAATTGTGGGTGATCTGGTGGTAAGCTTGAGTATCCTGTCTGTTTCCATCTGGGTCGCTAACAATAGAACCAGGTGATGGGGGGCCAGTTCACATATAATCCAACCCCCCACATGAATATGAATGGAGCTATGAACAGAGAAGGCAAGGTTAGCATGCTCTTTGATGCTGACCAGGAGATCTACTTTCAGTAGTGTCAAAGTGTGGCTGAAGAAACCAGTGAGATTTTCTGCAATGCCTGCCTTGGTTACTGCACCTGCATCAGCAACATTGGGTGTATCTTGTATGGGTGGTTGCTGGATGACGCAGGGTTCTGTTGCAGGTGTCTGCATGGTATCCACAAGATATCTAGTTGTCAGTGGAAAATGAGAGGTTGCATGAGGGCAACAGGCAGATGGATCATGATTGGGGTGCTTGTGGGACTCTGTGGCCTGATTTTCTATGGTGCATAATATGAATTCACATACCCTGACTTTATCTGATGAATTGAGTAGGTTATGGTCATAGCAGCAGCATCAGCCAGCTGCTGAAGGATATTGGCAAATGGTTCATGCAATGCAGCAAGGACATTACCCCTCAGTAGAATACCTTTACCTCTATGACTAATATGTGTCACTTACCCATTCCTGCATCACTGTATCCCCTGTTCTCAGTTTTGCAATGAATTGGTCACCTTACAAGAAGATTGAATGGTTGATGGATGAAATGTGTAAGAAGGGGGGCTGTCCTCATCTCTGGATGAGAGATGGAGGTGTGGTGACTGGGCAATAATGGCCTCACGGTCACTTCAACTCTCTTGCTGAAAATTCACAGTGAAATGATCCTTGAAAGATGTACATGTTGGTCAAAGTTGGAGGGGTACATGTTGCTTGTGTGGAATTTTTAAGATACGAGATTAGCTGAAAATGATAGTGTAATAAGAGGAAGACAGTGTGTTTATCGATGATCCTTGGTTGTAGTTTGCCTGGTGAACTCCAGGTGGTAATCTAATGGGACCCCACTGTCAGGTATGATAACGGCATCCATATGTTTTCCATCATATGATAGACCCTGATCTACATACAGTAACGAGCCAGCTTAAATCCACCTAACGCCGACGGGGCGGTGATATTGCACACGCTTACGTGCCTTGCCGTCGACGATCAGATCAGAAGTTCCCGAATTTAAATAATGACCGCCTAGGTCGTGGGTGAGCCCCAGTCATTGGTCAAAGATTCATCACGGACCAAAGCACTCGAAGATGAATGTGTTTCTATCGGGAGGTTTGAGCCTGAAGCCCGCTTTCTTTAGGTCTTCGTTTACTGCGCTATCATTCATATGAGCAAGAGCAAGAGTACGATGGCGATCAGAAGATGACCCACACGACATGTTTGTTCAAGATTTTCGGGGGGATGCTTGCTAGTAGCCTGGCAACTGGAGGTGCGGTTGACTCCATCAGATTATCCGCTCTCTCGACGGGAATGTTTTCTTTGTACAAGCCTGGTCGGAGATCAGACATGGATCTTGGTCTTTGGGGATCACGCACGCCCAAGAATGGGGATGGTTAATGCCTGATGCGTTACCATGGTCGGATTGCGCTGGATCATGGTTACCCGAGCCCCGTGGTTGTAAAGGTCATGCGCGATATCATGACCTGCTGATAAGTAAGAGCTGGGACATCGGCCGACAGCACGAGCGCGTACCGGAATTGCCGCATCCTACTACGATAACCTGCTTACTACCCCAGCCTTGACCATTCTTGTAGGCACTCGAGTGTATTGCAACACCATTGAATGATGCCTACTATACAATCAGCAACGACTATAATAAGCTAGGAGGAAAGCCCACTAGTCCAGGTACAATAGGCATAACGGGGCGCAATCCATTGATCCCCGTTGCAAGCACGATATGCGTGAACCGTAACACTTTTGACGAGTCTGAGAAATTGAGCACCACATCCCAGTGTCCGTCAAGATTATACTTCGCCGATTGCACAGTGGTTGAGGTCATCACATTGAGGTGTGTCGTCTTTGCGTATTCTTCGAGAAAGTCGGCAACGTCGTTTCTTGTGGGCAGGAGCGGGGTTTTGGCGGGCCAGTGATGGTACGCGAACTGGGCTATCACGCTCTGAGTCCAAGCTTCAAAACGCACCGAACGGGTTCATACCATACCACTTGGGAAGATGCAGCTTGAGGCAGTCATAATGTTGACGCCATTGGTCTCCGATCCGAGCATGCTGTTCGATAAGGAGACAAGACAACCCGAGAGTTCGAAGAGCGGCTCCCACTTGAACTTGAGTCCTAACAATCTTAGTCAAAGTCCTGTCGTCAGGTAATAACCCACGTCCGCTTTGTCCAGCGCCAAGCACTAGAACGTCAACGTGATCCCCAGTGGTATAGCCGTCGACACGAAGCCTCGAACGATTCTCTTCATGTCCTTTCAGATCATCAAGCTTCGTGAAGACCGTCCAAGCCTTCCAAGTGTCTGTTCGCTCGTCGAGAACAAGTTTGACTATGGCAATGCTGAGAGTTGTGTCCGTTTCAAAATCGTACGTTCCCTGGATATATACAAGGTTATCTGAGGCAGTAGGATGCACAGTAGCGTTTTGCAGCCTAAGGTCGGATAAACGTCCTTCTGCGAGGGCATAGTCCAGGAGATCGCAGATCTTATTGATTGAGTCAAAAGTTCGGATATCCCAGGTCAAGGATAGATGGTCCGTCCACCATGGGGCGACATCGTCCACTAAGATCTCGCCTAAGCTGTTTGAACGGTTGGATGGCGCATGAATCGCAGTGTTGAACCTCGTCGCCCAGTCGGCACCTATCTCAGTGGGCACCAACTGCGTGGTGTCGATGGACTTGCTCAAGAGTGGGAGCTTCAGAGCCATGGTCGGGCTGCCGATCGCCCTTTCAGGAAAGGAAAGTCATCAATAAGACGAATCGTCGAAATAATGTTTAATGTACTGTGGTGGCTCTTCAAGAGACAAGTTGACCACAATTGTGGAACCGGGACAAAGCGGCTATATCAACTTGGCAGGCAGCGGAGCCGGCGCATTACTGCCCGGCGTGGTGTCCAAAAGACGATAAGCAACCCATCAATTGTGCAAGCAATCGAGCGACGTGTTAAGCTGATTTGAAGGGCCCGTGTTGTGGTGTTTGAGTTTGCAGGAAATTTTGGAGATTCAGCAACCACGGAGTCGATGCCCGCTGCTACTCGGAGCTGAGCCATAAATGTCTCATGCACGAAGTTGTCATCACATCCTATCCAGCAGAAAGCTCACATCCCCTCCCCTACCCCGCCCAACGCAGTCGCTTTCTTCCTCCTCTTGGCCTCCCTACTCCGTTTCTTCCATTCCTGGGTCAGCGGTCCTCTGACCTTTTCCCACCTCTCTCTCGCTTCATCCCTTTTAAATTTGTTAGCACATGTCGTTTCTGCCTTCCTTACTTGCAGGTATAACACGTACTCAGTTTCCTGTTTCCACCCCTCCGTCCAGCCTTTCTCCCTTGCGACGTCCCAGAACGTCTTCGCGCGCCTCCTTCCTCCTGCACCATGGGCAAAATGTTCCACCGGCTTTCCCTCTTCGTCCCAAGTGGGGAAGAACAGGGGATACGCAGTCCAGTCGGACTTTTCTGTTGTCGGAGGATCGTAGCTCGGTAGAGGTTGGACAGGACGCGCAGGGAAGGAGGGAAGAGGCACAGGAGCGAGGGTGGGGTCGATATCGAGGTCGTCCAGGTCCAGGTCGAGGGTGAATCCACCTGCAGAATTGTCGTTAATTGAAGTGTCGAGGAACCAAGAAGGAACTTACCTGTCTCTTCTCGCGGGGCGAACAGGTCCTTAAGGCTCTCTCGCACGGGCTCTGGCCCACCTGTCGGCTGAGCGGTCGATGCGGGCGCTTCTGGCTCCTCCTCGGAGGACTCATCCTCATCCTGTTCCTCTGCTGGCTCCTCCTCCACTTCCGCGGTCGATTCCTCTTCTTGTTCCTGTTCATCCTCCGCCTCTGCTGCGTCTTCCTCTTCTTCTACTGGCTCATGCTCTTGCTCTTCCCGTTCTACTCTCACCTCTTTCCCCTTCCCCTTCTCAGGCTTCTCATTCCTATTCCACTCAGGATGCTCAACCTCCATATCAGAATCCTCGTCCACCCAACGCTCAGCACGCTCCATCCCCTCACCAAACATCTGGCGTATCAGATCTAATCCCGCGCTTTTCTCGCCTTCAATAAGGGCGAGGACATCATCTGTCTTTCTCCCCTTCTCCTTCATGGGTGGACGGGCGGCATGTTCTTGAGCCTTAGGGAGTGGCGCAGGTGCAGGGGGTTCAGGTTCCGCAGGAGCTCTCCGTTTCTTGGACTTCTTGGTACCTTCAAGTGGAGCAGCCGCTGGATCTTCAGCAAAGTGCGCAACGCCTCTCTCCCGGTCGGGAAGGATGACCTCACCCGCCTCCAACAACGCGCCAGTAAGGTGTACCGCCCCCCATTTCGGAGGGTCGATCACCATCCTTCTGGCTCTCTTGAGCGGCACGGTCGACAACGCCTTCTTGGAGGACATGGGTTTACTGCTGGAGGCGAGCTCTGGAAGGGGTGGAAGAGGGCGGAGGGGTCGCATGCGGATGGGCCGGATGAGGTGGTTTAGAGCTGTGACGTGCCAGTACTGCCATGAACAAATGAGCACTAGCCTGGGAAGGTAAAGAAAGAGCACACCAATCGACCCTCAACGTTATTCACCGTCACAAGACTCATATCTTTCGCCTCTTTTACCCGCTCCATTTTCCGTCGCTTTCCCGCTCTCTGTTCTTCCTCTCTAACAGCATCCGCATGTTCCTTCTCCCACCTAGCTGTATAATCCATCTTCGCCTCCCCGATCCTCAGCTTCGCACCCTTATACATCGTCCCAGAAAGCACATTCATACATCGTTTCAGCTTCACCGGCGTGCTCTGCAGTGTCAAATATGCAAACTTGCGCGGCTCACCGAGGCCGTCCGGGAGGTGCAGGCCGTCGAGGGCGAGGACAGTGCCGAAGGATGAGAAACGGGCTTGGAGGTCGGAGGCGGTTATGCTGGGTGTGAGACCGGCGATGTGAAGCCGGGTTGTTATTAGTTCTTCTGACATTTTGAGTATAAAGAGGAGAGAAGATGCAAGGGGAGAAATTCAGTAAGGGACCGCACGTGAATTTTACGGCATGGCAGGGGTTGACTTTCTCCGTTATTTCTCCGGTCTCCGTTCCTTCTCACATTGGTGTCGTATTTTGTCTCCTTTTCCTTTCTCTGAAGCTATCTCTCTCGAAAACACTGTAATACTACTCTGATACCATAAACATGGCATCAACCCGTTCCCTCACCTCTTCCCGTCCACCAACAACCACCCCCCAACCACCTCCTCCACCCCCAGCACCTGCAATTGGGCAACTAAAGACACCACAAGATCAAGCCGTCCAGGCGGTCTCTTCCGCACTCGGAGAGCTAGGGAGCAGGTTGGGAGCTCTATCAGGGTTTGGGAGACAGGAACCGGCTGGTGCGCCGGGGCAGGAGAAGAAGCCCGAGGAAGGAGAGAAAGAGAAGGGAGAACAGGATTATAACCCCTACACTGGGGCACCTCTTCGCAAGCTTGTGCCCCTCCAGTCTCCGGTGACTTCCCCCTCCTCCTCGGGGTTAGCGTCTCCCTCTAGCGAACCGGGAAAGAACGCGGAGCCATCGTTGTCCCAGCAGTTGTGGGCTCACCTTGCGCTTGTGAGGAAGCTCCAAGCCGAGCTCGCACAGCAGCATATCGAGATGGAGAACGTTACTGGGAGATGGAGTGGGGAGGGTCTGGGTCTGGGAGAGAAAGGAGAGAAGGTCGATAAGGTGGTGGATTTGGGTGCTAGGGGTGCGGCGAAGAATATGGGCGATGAGAAGGAAAAGGAGAAGGAGAGGGAGAAAGAAAAGGAGAAGGAGAGAGAGAGAGAGAGAGAGGAGAGGGGAAAACAGAGGCAAGAGGCAGTGAAGGCCATTATGAGCAAGGTGCGTTCTCTTGTGACCTACTACGTCTTAATATGAACTAATGTATCATGGGTAATAGCTGGACGAGCTTTCAAGGGCTGTAACGGCCTATCACGGGACAGTGACCCCATCGCTCGACCTCACGCCTCTCAACGCAGGTCGGCAACGTTCCCAAACGCTTTCCCACGCAATCACACACGCTGACGGTGCATTATCCGACACCGCGCTGTCAGAAATTGGGAGTAGCCCACCCCGAAGAGCAGGGGATGATAACATGCTCGGGTTTAGGGGTATGACGATGACCCGGAGAGAAGGGACGAACGGGAGGATGGTGAGTGACGAGTTTGGGGAGAGTCCTGCTGTTGGATATGGGTTCGATTCTGCATAGCATTGTCCATGATTATCGGTATACCTGTAGCATATATATTAATACCCTCAGCCTCTGCAGCTGTTCAATATTGTTAATGCTCTAGAAGCGATAGGAGCCAGCGCATATCTTTCCCCAAAAGGGAATTATGTTTAATTTGGACCCGGCGCAGTGAGGGAGTGCGTGTCGTGTTCGCTGTTCGTGTTTCGATGAATGACTGAAATATCGACAAGCCTGCGCATACACTCACTTCAACGGCGTGCACAGCGCAGCTCTTGACCACCACCTCGACAATCTTTGGCTCAATTTACTTACCTCAAATCCAGTCTTCATTCCTTGTTTCTGTACTATCAACGCATCTCATCAACGCAGTCGTCGGCCACACGCACGACAGCCAGTGACGCCGTCATGGCCGGCCCGCTTGCCCAACTTCGTGTCACCCTCTTCCTCCTTGTCCTCCTCTTCCCCCTCACCACACGCGCCGATATCCCCCTGGTAACGCTCAGCTACTTCTCTACGCTTCCTAGCAAGCTGTTCTACTTTGATGACTCTACTGTATGTCCTCCCTTGTCGTGCTGTGCGCTTGCTGATGCCTCTTGTGCAGAGTGTGCTCTGGCATGATACCGCCAATGGGATCGTCTTTGTATCAGAAGATGAGGGCAAGTCTTGGACCCAGAGTACGGATATCCCCGAAGGAGAAGCGGCGATGCTCGTCGAGCATCCATTCGACACCAAAGTTGTGCGTGGTTTGTCCCCTCGCTGCTCCGCGGAAACTCACAACCCTGATTCAGGCATTCATGCTCTCTCGAAAATATACACATTACCGCACTATCAACCGGGGCAAGACGTGGCAGACGTTCGAGACACCTATCCCACCCGCGCTTACGAGCACACCTTTGAGCTTCCATGCGACTGAGCCAGGGTACGTCCTTTTCCATGGGACGAGGTGCGAGAACACAGGTATATGGTGGGGAAGGGAATGCCATGATGAGGTGCGTTGAACTTGTACTCCGGGTGTACGAGTGCTGACGTCTTTGACAGGCATACTACTCCCTCGATCAGTTCTCCGATGACCTCAAGCTTCTCCTCACCCCTATCACCCGCTGCGTCTTCGCCCGCTCGACAAAAGACTTCCTCACTGCCCCGGAGAGGCAAGTGCTTTGCGTGGGCATCGACGTGGAGTCGTCCGAGGGGCACGCTGTTGAGTCCTCGCGCTTGTACACTTCTGAAGACTTCTTCGACACCGATGGTCAGATAGTCAACTTCGGTCGTGGAAAGCAGGGGCGTGGAGTTGTCGCCCTCGGTGTTGTTAGCAAGTTCATTGTCGTAGCGCTCAAGGACCTCGTCAACCCGGACAGCGGGGAGATGGTCTTGTACGTATCGGTAGACGCACAGAACTGGGCACACGCGCGTTTCCCGCATGGGTCGGGTCGCCTCCTCGAGAACGCGTACACCATTGTCGAGAGCACAACGCATTCACTTGCCGTGGACGTACTCACCCACTCGCGCAGCACCGTCGGAACACTGTTCGTCTCCAACTCGAATGGAACATTCTTCGTCCGCAGTCTGCAGAATACGAACCGCAATGCGGAAGGGTTTGTCGATTATGAGGAGATTGTCGGTGTTGAGGGAGTCGGGCTCGCCAACTTTGTCGCCAATGCTGAAGAGGTCGATGGCCGTGGTCAGGAGAAGCAGCTGCGTACAGTCATCACGTTCGACGATGGCTCGAGTTGGGATCGGCTCCCCCTCCCTACCGATTTGAGAGGGAACGAGATCGCTTGCCCGAACGAGAACTGCACCCTTCACCTGCACTCCGTCTCGACCCCACACAATCTCGGTCGGATATTCTCCAGCCCTGCGCCTGGGTTCGTTATGGGTGTAGGGTCCGTGGGGGACTACCTCCTGCCGTACGAGGAGTGCGATACGTTCCTGTCCTCTGATGCGGGGCTGCATTGGAAGAGGGTAGCGCAGAATGCAAATATGTACGAGTTTGGCGGACAGGGGAGCATTATCGTCATCGTGGATGATGAGGACTATACAGACCACGTGCTATACAGCTATGATTCTGGGACTACCTGGTGCGCACCCTGGTCCTCGTACAACCAACGATGACTAACCTGTAGAAAGGCACGATCTTAAGTTCGGGGTCAATATCCGCGCTCGTGGCCTCACCACAGTGCCGGACTCGACCTCCCAAAAGTTCCTGCTCCTCGGCACGTTAAGCCGCAAGGACCAGAACGACGATGGCCGGCACGTCAGTGTCTTCCTCGATTTTGCGCCGCTGCAGAAACGGCAGTGTGGAGCTAGCGATTTTGAGAAGTGGTATGCTCGTACGGCTAAGGGCCACGAATGTGTCATGGGTCACAAGCAATACTACAACCGGCGGAAGGCAGACGCAGACTGCTACGTCGGGCACAAGTTTGAGGATCCTATCGAGTTCGAAGAGAACTGTGCTTGCACAGCCTACGACTACGAGTGCGACTACAACTTCGTCAGCATGTGCGGCAACTGTGTCGCTGCTGGCCCAGAACCTATCCCTAGTGGAGTATGCACCACAGGTAGGGAGAGCGAGCAGTATCAGGGATCGTCGGGATACCGACTTATCCCTGGGAATACGTGCGATAAGAAACTCCCGGGAGCCGTCGTCAAGGACGAGAAGGTTTTGAAGGACTGCTCGAACGCTGCTGTGCCCGAGGGTGAGGCAACGCATCAGACCGTACGTGTACTGTAACTCTATCAATCGGTTTTAGAGAGCTGATAGGGTTTTTTAGTTCCAATTCCCTGCCCCGATCCTGCAGCATTTCTACTTCAAGAACTCGCCGACCATCCTCGTTCAGTTGGAAGACCATACCGTCTGGCAATCACCCAACGAGGGCTATTCATGGACTCAGCTCCACCCCGATCTGCGTTTCCTCGCCATTTACATGCATGCATACTCCGATGACCGTGCATACATCATCACCGATTCCCGCAAAGTGCTGTACACGACGTCGACCGGAAGGGACTGGTATGAGCTCGAGACGCCCACAGATGTGAACACTTTCCGTGTTGCCTTGCTCCAGTTCCACCCTACCCGTAGGGACTGGATCATCTGGACCGGTCAGCAGGACTGTAATGTCCCTGGTGGCGGAACGAGCTGCCGCACCACAGCGCACTACTCGCAGGACAATGGCCGGCGGTGGTATGAGATCGAGAACTACGTCAAACAATGTACGTGGGGGCGTGACAAGAACCTCAAGATCGATGAGCGGCTCATCGTCTGCGAGTCCTTTGCTATAAAGTCTGGCAATATGCGCTTGTTCGGCTTGGAGAACCCGCTTCAGCTCGTGGCAGGCCGAGACCTTTATTCGCAGAAGGTAAAACTGTTCGATAACGTCGTTGGGCTTGCCAAGTTCTCGGAATACATGATCGTCGCCGAGCTCGGCGCGCAGAATACGCTCGACCTCCAGGTGTCCCTTGACGGGAAGACTTTTGCTACTGGATTATTCCCGGCCGAGTACAAGCTGGATAACCACGCATATACCATCCTCGAATCCAGCACTGACTCTGTCTTCCTCCATGTGACCATGTCGACCCAGTGGGGGGCAGAGTACGGCAGCATCCTCAAGTCTAATTCGAACGGAACGTACTACGGCGTCTCGCTGGACTATGCAAACCGGAATGATGCGGGATACGTCGACTTCGAGAAGAATCAGGGGCTGGATGGGATCGCCGTTGCTAATGTGCTCACGAACCCGGACGAGGCTCTCCTGACTGGGAAGAAGCGCCTGCAGACGAGGATCACGCATAATGACGGAGGCAGCTGGAAACCAATTCCTCCTCCCTCGAAGGACTCTCTGGGCCAGCCATACGACTGCACTTCCACAGTAAGCCCTTTGCATAGTGATGTATATCGTGTTACTCAGACTTGCGACAGAAATGTACTTTGAACATCCATGGGTATACGGAACGCCGTGATGCGCGGGCCACTTACAGCTCGCCCGCCGCGACCGGACTGATGATGGCTGTCGGCAGCGTTGGGGAAGCCCTGGCATCGTACACTGAGAGCGACATTTTCCTGACCCGTGACGCTGGTTTCACATGGGAAGAGGTGCACAAGGACGCCCACATGTGGGAGTTCGGTGATTCCGGCTCCCTGCTGGTCATCGTCAATGACGAGAAGGCGACTGACTACGTCTTGTTCACCACGGACGAAGGCCTGAACTGGCGGGAATACCACTTTGGCGACACGGTGCGCATCAACACGCTCGTGAATGCCCCGTCAGATACGAGCCGCAAGTTCCTTATGTTCGGCGAGTCTTCAACCCAGGGCACTGTCGCGATTCACCTCGACTTCACGCAGCTGACGAAGAAGCAATGTGAGTCCTTTGAACTAGAAAAAGATTGCAAATGGTCCTAACTTACGTACAGGTAAATTCGACATCGAAGACCAGAACAACGATGACTTTGAGCTGTGGAGTCCTAGCGAAGAGCGAGAGGAACAATGTCTGTTCGGCCGCCAAGTTGCGTATTACCGCCGGTTGCGTGACAGGAATTGTTATATTGGGGACATGAAGCCACCTGGCAGGCTGGTACATAACTGTATCTGCAAGAGGAGCGACTTCGAGTGGTACGTGCGCAGTTCTTCCCATGCTGATGCCTTTTGACGTTCCCCCAGCGAGTTCAATCACCGCCGGAACGACGCAGGAGAGTGCGTTCTTGTAGCTGGTGCTGAGCCGCTGCCTTCAAGCATGGCAGACCAATGCATGAACGGCGAGGAGTTCTGGTACGACCGTACCGCCTACCGCAAGATTCCATTCTCGACCTGCGAGGGTGGTGAACAACTCAACCTGGGCAAGCGACACGATTGTCCTGGCCTGCAAGGGAAGAGCTTCTTCTTCTGGCTCAGCGTGATCGTACTCCCAGCGGGCCTGGTCTCACTTCTGGCCTACTGGTTCTACAAGAGATCGGGCCATATGAAGGGCACTATCCGTCTGCCGGACGGAATGACGCGCCCGTCTCTGTCGACCGACGCCGGGCTGGTAGACACCATCGCTAGCGTTCCTTGGTACCTCCTCGGGCTGGCGACAGTAGCGATCACCGCTATTGAGAACATCCGCATCCCCTGGCTCAGCGGACTGTTCCGCTCTCGCAGAGGGTACAGGACTGTGGCGGTGGACGAGGACGCCCAGGTGCTGCGCTTCGAGGACGAGGAGTCGTAGGCTGAAGGTTCGCCGACAGGTAGGGAGAAGAAGGAACGTAGAAAAACACACATTCTGATACCATCGTTCATGCTCTACCCCGTTCCGAATTCTCGCATCCTGCTTCCTGATCTTGGCCGACCCTTTCCCGGGGAGACGCGTACTGGCTCTCTGTTCATCTTTGTTCGTTGTGTAGGTTGGTGGGAGGGTGTAGAGCAGTGGGAAGATGGATGATGATGGACCGTGCTGGATGTTCGATGATGATGGATGTCGGGAGACCGCTCCAATTGGCTGTGCTGTTGCATAGGTTGTATTCTTCAAAATATGATCTGTCCTTCGAGATAATCTATGTTCCTTCGATTATGCCCTGAGGATTCACCACAGAGCTGTACCCCAGATGGTTTCGGATGAAAGACAAAGGGATTGTCCCTGATAGATTTCACATGGCTCTGTTGCGAAGCACAAGGAGGCAGTGTTTGGTCGTGCAACCTGACATCGTCCGACACAGCCGGAGCCTCGGGGCCTTCACAATACTCCACAACACGCCCTCTCTCTTGAGCGAAATCCCTCTTAGGACCACGGAGACTGCGTAATGAACGGATTATTGTTCTTTTCTCTTCTGGGTTGACATCGAGCGCAGCAACCGGAAATGCAATTCTCTCTCCTTGCCCTCTTTCTGGACGCAGATCTCCCGGCGTGGAGTTGGTTGAGAACCGGCGGCGGTGCGGCTTACATCGGCGCGGGCAGAAGATGATTAATTACCGCAACAGTACTGCCGCACCGATCAGGCGTGTACATCGGTGGCTATCCCTGGGCGTAATAACGAAAGTGGGACAAAGCTGCTGCGCCGGAAAAAGGACGAAACTCCCCTTGGCGACATGTAACACGCCCTGCCGGTGCCTTGGCGTAGTCTGTGAGCCTATATAATCCGGTTGGAGCGGACATGCCGTTGGCCTTCCTTACGCCAACGCCCTCTCCCTTCGAGGTATAAAGATATTTGCAACAGGTTGCCTTGCTGTACTCTTAGTCACTTGATATCCCCTCGCATACTCTAGCACCAAAGCTAATCATGTTCGCTCGTACATCCCTCGTCGTCCTGCTCGCCGGCCTCGCAGCTGCCCAGACCACGTACGCTCACTTAGCCTCTCCTACTCACACCTACTAACCACTTCACAGTCCCTCCATCTCTACCCAATGTACGACTGCCCTTGCCTCCATCCTCGCCAACTCCAACGCAGCAAGCTGCCTCTCTCTCGGGGATGTGATCCCCGTGCTGACCTTATCATCCAACACTTCCCTCATCCCGTCTATCACCACCTGGCTGGGGGACATGTGCGTCGCACAGGCATGCTCCAACTCCACGCTCGATTCTGTCACCAGCTCGGTGATCCAGGGGTGCCAGAATGACCTGATCACGAACGGTGTCCTGCCCCAGGGGACGACTATCAGCGTCAGCCAGGCTCAGCAGGATGTTGAGATTGCCTACACCCCAGCGAGGGAGGTCGTCTGCAGCAAGAGGTGCGTTTCTCTCATCCTTTCATCAATGGCACACTCTGATTTCTCGTAGCATCGGCAACTGGTGCCTGATCAACACCCTCACCTCCATCCAAACACTCATCGGTGCTCCCCTAAGCGAAGCCACCCTCTTCTCAGCGGACTGGACCCAGCTCGCATCAACCCTCGACACCTCCTCCCTCTGCACAGACTGCAACCAAGCCGCATACGCAACCCTGCGCACGCCGCTCAATCTCCAAGGCACACCAATCGAAACCGTCATCTCGAACCGCTGTGGGAGCACCTTCGTCAGCGGCAGCGTGCCGGCGGACGTCACCCTCGGAGGAGTGACCACGACGCACAGCGGTGCTGAGGCGGTCAGGGCTGCGCTTGCGGGACTGCTGGGTACTGCGGGCATCGCGGCGCTCTTATTCTAGCCGCGACGTGGGAGCTTATGGACTGAAACAGTAATCATAAGTAATATTGCTGTATCTCTACTTTTAGGCTGGCGCCTACGGACACTTAGACAAAAACATGATATCCTGCACATGATGGATAGAAGAGAAGCCACTCTGCGTTCTAAATTATAAGCAAAAATCATGTCGTGCACGAAGCTCGGCGACCTCCGCTTACTCGGCATAATAAGTGGGGAGACATGACACCATTCTGCCACAGTCGAACTCGTATCCCGAGAAGACCATGTCCGACGGAGAAGGGGAACACGTAACACGCATATAGCTATGGACCGACCAATCCGGGCAGCTTTCATAATGACCGTAAGACCTGGCTGCATGTACAAACCCATACTTTGAAGCGAATATGTACGTGGCACTGCCCTCAGTAGCTGGTCGTTCCACAACTGTGTGGTCAACGAGGGGTTTTTCTCACGCGTAATGACAAGCTGATGAAACTGTTTTATCCATACAGACCCCGAGGAGTTTCGAGAATGGGTCAGTTGATTGAGAGACGAAACCCAGGATCAGAGTGGGGTGCGGCCCTGGGGCGGTGGACGATGGATGAGTCAACGGCCGGACAGCGATCGGGATGTATTTGTTACAGATGCTGGCGATCCGCGGTAAATTCCCACACTGCACCTCTGACAGGAAGATAGTATCGCTTTCAACCCAAGGCAAGCCTCGTCACATGTTACTAGTATGTTTGCAATAGCCTGAGAAGGAAAGGAGACCGCCACTGTCTTTTCCTGCCAAAACGAACAGGAAAAGTGCATGCCTGCGTTCATCGCTTCCCTGCCAGTGCAACACGTTTCACCCAACGAGAAAGGCGCTAGCGGTATCTGGGCCGTAAGGCTGACGCTCACGGGCATGTCTTCAGAGGAAATTATTGGTGAACGTGGTGTGCTTATTACATGGCGTGAGGATGTGAGGATGTGAGATGTCAATGCGTAAAATGCCACCCGCGGTGCGTCCACTCAGTCAATCACCCCCAGATGATCCTCCTTAATCGTCCCAATCGCGAACTAACCCGTAGGCGCAAACAGTCAGCCAGTCTCCTGACAAGACGGGGGAAAGGAACTCACGATCTCCGTTGCGTCTACCCTGGTGCCAACCAGCTTTAACCGCACATGCGTGTCCTTCTCGATCACTTGGTCTGAACTGGCAAAACAGGGATTGGCGGCGGCGCTGTCGAAGCGCATGTCGGGGTGGATTAGGTGGGCGGAGACAAATACTTGGAGAGGGCCGACTTCGGCAAAGAACCCCATCTGGAACGAAGTTAGCTTGGATACGGGGAACACAGAGAGGGAGGGATGGAACGCACTTTATTCACACTGGTGACGACGCTATCAAGCACCTCACCCTTAAACGGCTTGAACACAATAGCCCGATATGTCGTCGTAAACTCCGCGTGCCCCGCGCCAACGCTCACAAGTCCCACACCTACATCGATCACATCCAATACGGCGATGATGTACCCGTACTCTCCGGAACATGTGCCCTCGACGTCGGCGTGTAGCTTGGACTCGATGTGTTGGTGCATGCGAGCGCCGAAGTAGGAGGGGTGGAGAAGGATCGTGTGATGTAGATCTTTCTAGGAGCGGGTCAGTTATTGTATAGAAGCAGATGAATGTGTGCTCACTACGAAGAACATGGTGTCCTTCTTCTAGGGCAGATCGCCCTTCAGGTTAATGAAGGTAATATACAGACTTGCAAGTTGAGATGGTGGCACGCGCAAGAAAGTGAGCACTCTGCGATGATCCCTAATGAACACTGCCACTCGGCGATGGTTATGAGAATCACTTAACGTCGACGTAAGGAGGAAAAGTTCGTGCAGCATTGCCTGAAACGACGAACAGACTGAGTGGGCACCGATCGACGAGATCCACAGTGTGGGTCGTATTTAAATGCAAAGGTTGGGAGCGCTGACAACGCGCTCCTCTTACCTGTCGCGGAGCGGCTCCCACGCAAGCACCGACCACCCTGGCTCGTACTCTCCGGCCGTGCAGGTTGTTATGTGTATCACGTTCGGAAATAGGCTGTACCCTCCGAATTCCGTACGAATCGGGGTCATGATAGTCTTCATTGACCAAGCTTTTAGTGGTCAAGAACATCTGAGCAATCGATGAAGAATCTCTGTGGGGAGACTAGGGCCGAAAATGAATCAGGAAGGGAAATATTTACGCGACCGGGCCGCGCGGGTCTCACGGCTCGCCCAGCCGACGGCCCCTCTCTCTGGGGTGAATTAGGCCGCCATCCCCGCCCCCTCCACGCTATGTCCTTTCTTTGTCTCCCCCGCGGGGCGGTCCGTCTATTGGGGTGTCACAATTTATTTTCACTATCTTCGCTGAACGTGCTCCGCCCCCCCCCCCGCGATTGAGAATTTGATGGAAGGCGGCGTAGGAACACTACATAATCCGTCGGTGGTCTGTCCTGTTCAGGACGGCCCCTTCTTGCCTTCCTACGACCCTGCACGAGTAGTGATAGGTATCAAGCAACCATCATGGAGTCCCAGTCGACATTCGAGAAGGACGACCCCTCTTTCAGCGAGAATGCATCCCATGCCGGGATGGCAGCTGCTCATCACACGGGCAACATGCTCCATCTGGAGACGATCGACGAGGCGGTTGCGGCCGAGCAGCTGGCTAAGGAGATGCAGTATGTTGACGAGAGCAAGGCGCGTGAGATCGAGCAGGAACTCGCGCAGAGCAAGCAGCAAGGGTACCAGCCCGTCACGGACGAGGAGTGGAAGGCACATCACAGCTTGAACCTCAAGTTCGACTTGTATGTTATCCCCTTCTGCACCCTCATCTACCTCTTCTGCGGTCTGGATCGTGCCAACATCGGGAATGCCGCTACCGATAACTTTACCCAGGACTTGGGTATGCCTGCGACAGCCATCAACACAGCTACATCGTGGTTCATCATTACTTACGTACCTTTCATGCCGGTATGTGCCCCGCTCTTCCTGGCTTATTATCTCACGATCTCCCTAGATTACCACGTACTTCGGCCGTCGTGTCGGCCAGCCCCTCTTCCTCGGCGTCGCTGGCTTCTGCTGGGGCATCCTCACCCTCTCCCAAGCCTTCATCAAGACAGAGGCGCAACTGATCGCAATCCGCCTGCTCGTCGGTTTCTTCGAGTCCGGCTTCTTCTCCACCGCCGCGGCGTACATCTCCATCTTCTATCCCCGCTTCAACCTCGCATTCCGCATCTCGATGTTCTTCTTCGCGTATGCGATTTCGGGTGGGTTCGGCGGCCTCATCGCCTATGGCGCATTCAACATCAGCGGCTCGCTCTATGGCTGGCAGTACCTCTTCCTCATCGAGGGCAGCCTTACCATCCTCCTCGCACTGATCACGCCCTTCTGGCTCCCCACCAGCCCCGGCACCGCCTGGTTCCTCACTCCAGCAGAGAGGCACTACGCTGAGAAGCGCATGGTCATGGACTCGTCTGAGAACTTGGCGGACGCGCACAGGATCTCCAAGCGTGATATCTTGGAGACATTGAAGGACTGGAAGCTGTGGATGATGCTTCCTTGCGCCATGATCACGACCATGGGTCCGACTGGGTTCACCACGTTCTTGCCCCTCGTCGTCAAGGTAAGCTTTAGTCAGGGCTCGACGTTGAGAACGCCCTAACACAGACTCGCAGGGCCTCGGTTACTCGGGAGCGATTGCCAACTTGCTCTCCGTCCCGCCGTATGTCGCTGGTGCCTGTGTAGTCCTGATCATGTCCTGGCTCTCCGACCGCTATCGCCAGCGTGGGATCTTCATTCTCTTCGGCCTAGCGTTCGTCATCATCGGTCTCATCCTGGCCGTCACTCTGCCTCTCGAGAACGTCCATGCCCGGTACGGTGCTCTCGTCATCCTCCTTGCAGGCACGTTCGTCGCCACACCTCTCAATACCTCTTGGCTTGCGAGCAACACCCCCGACCCTGGCAAGCGTACCCTCGTTCTCTCCCTGAACAACTGGGCGAACCTCGCCCAGGTGTACGCGAGCGAGCTCTTCCAACCGAGCTTTGGTCCCAACTACCAAACACCCATGAAAGTCCTCCTGGGACTCATGTGCCTCGCTGTAGTGGGCTACTCGGCCAACTCGGTCGTCCTTCTTCTAGTGAATAGGTGGAAGGCCAAGAAGGTAGCGAAGATGACGGCTGAGGAGCTGCAGGAGGAGAACATGTCCGACAAGAGGGTCGGGGACAAGAAGCTTACTTTTATTTACGGTATTTAAGCTTGTAATCCGACAGCGCTTGTTGTTCTGGGGTCTTTACTGTCTGGGGTGGAGGAAGCGTACCTGATAATCTGAACATTGTTGTGGCTCAGCGCTAGGTTGCATTGTTCCTGACCAGAAGAGAAGTAAGCTAAATTTGGTCCCGTGGGGACTAAGCTTCTTCTATACATTCATCGCCACGTTGCTGAACCTTCCCCTCCACCTCCGTCAAAGTGTGCATGACCACTTCCCAGTTCACGCGGGGCCCCGCCCTTTAACAGCATACCCCATGTTTGGGCACGTTTTCCTCCCTGCCCAGCCATGCAACCCCCCGTGATCAGCCAGGCCCTACATCACGCGGCGTCCGTGCACCGTCTTTCCTTTTGGTGGTCGTGATTACAGCTCCACCTAATGCTCCTGAAGTCAAGGAGGCTTCGGACGGCCTTCTGAATTCGGTCTTCGCCCGATAGGGCTAAGGCTAAGAATACTTTTTACCTATAGCGGGCGGCCCTTGCAACGCCCCTATGATTAAAAAGTGCTTCGGACGGCTTTCCGTTTTCGTAACCTTTCCGAGCTGGTATATTATGGTCGCCTCTGGTCACAACTTTCACGAAACGGCGCCTCTCTTCTCGCTCCTTCGCCGCCCCGCCCCCCCTCACATTCTCCCATCATGTCAACCGAGATGTCCGATCTCAGTTCAGAAAAGGATGCGCCTATCCACACTGAGCACCTGAAGGGCGACGCCAAGTTCGAGGAACATCATGTCACGGAAGCAGTGCTTCATCAAGAAGCGATCATGCACGAGATCACTGCTGACCGGCTCGCCGCTGAAACACTTTACGTCGATCAGGCCAAGGCTGACGAGATTCGGAGGGAGCTGCTCGCCAGTGAACAAGGTGGATACCATCCCATTACGGACGAAGAGCGAAAGGCACACTACCGCCTTAACCGCAAGTTTGACACCTACGTGAGCGAGACCTATCACACGACCAACACGGGGCTGATTGATTTCAGGTGCTTCCCCTACTCATTGCTGTCTATTTGTTCAATGGTCTTGACCGCAGTAACCTCGGTAATGCGCAGACAAACAACTTCAGCAGCGACATCGGCATCCCTGCTAGCTCTGTCAACACCGCGAGCAGTTTGTTCTTTGCCACTTTCGTTCCTCTTCAGCCAGTGAGTTCATTCCGTTCCTCAGTGAATCCTGCTCTCATTCCATGAAGTTCTTGGCAGCATTCGGCAAACGCTTTGGCCAAATTCCCTTCCTCACAGTCATCTGCTTCCTCTGGGGTGTCCTCACCATATGCCATGCTTTCGTCAAGACCGATTCTCAGCTGATTGCCGTCCGCCTGCTCATGGGCATTGCCGAATCCGGATTTTACCCCACCTGTCTCTCGTATCTGTCCCTCTTCTATCCTCGGCACGAGCTTGCCTTCCGTTTCGCCATGTTCTACGGGATGTATGCAGTGGCCGGTGCTTTCGGTGGTCTGATCGCTTTTGGCGTGTTCCAAATCCAAAGCGGGGCACTCCATCCTTGGCAGTACCTGTTCATCATCGAAGGCTGCTTTCCCATCCTGTTGTCGATGTTGATCCCCTTCGTGTTGTCGAGGGATCCCAAGTCTGCCTGGTTCCTCAAGCCAGAAGAGCGCGAATACGCCGAGAAGCGCATGGTCATTGATGCCGCAGCAAACTTGAATGGCACTTACAAGGTCACTAAGCGTGATGTCTGGGAGATCGTCAAGGACTGGAAGCTCTGGTTCACGCTCTTTGCTAACACCCTCGCTGGGACATGCCCCCAAGGGTTCACCATTTTCTTCCCTGTTGTAGTAAAGGTGAGCTTGTGCGGTGGTTCTAGCTCTTACGTTCTGCTAATCATGCGTGAACAGGGATTGGGGTACACGGGTGCACTCGCCAACCTGATGACCGTCCCGCCTTATGTCTGTGGCACCCTCGTCCTGCTTTTGTTTGCATTCTCTTCCGACAAGCACAAGGAGCGTACATTCCATATCTTGGGGTATGATCTACACCTTTCCTTTCTGAGACTCTATTGACTCTCATCCAGTGGCATGCTTATCATCATTATCGGACTCATCATCACTGTGGTGCTGCCTCTGGAGAACACCGGGGGCCGTTATGCCGGCCTCCTGATCTTGCTGTCCGGCTCATTCGTCTTCTCTCCCATCGTCAGCGCTTGGTATGCCGGCAACACCCCCGAGCCCGGAAAGCGGACGATCGGTCTCGCCATTATCGGCTGGGGAAATGTCTCCGGTATCATTGGCTCCGAGTTGTTCCAGGCCCAGTACGGCCCCGATTATCGCTATCCTCTTCGCATAACCCTTGGACTTATGGTTGTTGCCTTCTCCGGATATGTGCTCGTAAATATCCTTCTTCGCCTAGCGAATCGCTCGAGGGCAAACAAGCTCGCCAACATGACGGTCCAGCAGATCGAGGAAGAGAATACCTCGGACGTTAGGGTCGGCGACAAGAAGTATACGTTTGTGTATGGGTTATAAGTTATGATTCTGTAGTTAGTGTAGGTCAACGTTGTCTTGTTTTCCATGTCGTCAAGGGTCTGTTACCGAGGAGTTATGAATCTGTACAGAGCTGTACTTACGGTAATTCATGAGGTGTTTATGTCACACAAGTACATAACGGGACATCGACGACAGGGGAAGAAGGGCAGTATCTTCAAAGTTACTCAGCTACAGGTATGAAAAGCAACCCACTTGGGACTGAGTGATTCCACAGGGGCCATGACAGTCTTATATCTAAGTGAAATATGTGCACCAATCTTTGGGGCTTGGGGGCTTCGGTCGTGATTAGTTTACTATATGGAGCAAGATATCTCTATTGCAAACCTCGCAAGCTACGTTAATGCTCCAACAGAAAGAGTGAGAAACGGTGAGGAATCTTCACTACACAGTGATTGATATTCTCCACCAAATTGACAGCGCCGTGAAACGGCGACAGTCGGCTCCCTCCAGTCCGCGGAGAGGAATATTTTGTGAATTCCGTGGTGGAGTTTACATTTCTTGTCTATGCGACTTGTACTCTCTTATGCCGAAACATTTTCGAAGGCAGGGACAACATCCATCGGAGCCGAAGCGTCATGATCAAGACCGGACCCTGGTTCTTTTCCCCTGAGATAGGGGTTAAACGTTTTGTACCTTGTTAACTCCGCCGGACGATCGGAAAGAGATACTTCGTCAGTAGCAAACTAACACTGGTATTTGATTGTTCCTGAGATTGTTGAAAAACGTAATAACAGCTCCATTTAGGCCAGCTGTCGACTTCATGCTTTGTACATTACGAGCGACTTGACAGGTGGATTCGCGATCGGACCATCTATCCGACCCAACCCGCACCAAGGATCCAATCACAGACGAGGAGAAGTCCTTTAGTCCTTTAGTCGCCCTCACTTTATCCCGTGACGTTCCATCATTGAATAGCCCAGGCTCAAACTATCTCCCACGCCATCAAGGAGCCGACACCTTGTTTGGCGTAAGCTGCTTCTGTGCTGCTCACGAGGATAATTTTGAATTCAACACCTCGCGTGCTTCCTCCACAATCAATTCAGTTCCTCCACCCCGACGTTCATCTCCGGACTCCACAATTGTCTATCACGGTCTTCGTTCTTTGTACCCCACGGGGTAGAGGGGACGGCCCTTCGCTGGATAGAGCGTCTTCTATGATCAACGTGCCTTCTCCTGTAGGCATGGAATTCATATAAAGAGTGCGAGCATGCAAGCATGGGTACAGTCCAGGGGCGTCGTCCGTCGCTCTCTTGCTCGCTACTTGTGAAAGATTGAACAGGATGTCTTCGACCGCCTCCGAATTCGAGAAGGAAGTGACCGAGTTTCACGAGCATGCCGTGCACTCTGAGAAGGCGCTCCATTTGGAGACGATCGATGAGGGCGTTGCGGCGGAACAATTGGCCAAGGAGATGCAGATGGTCGATGATGAAAGGGCGCGAGAAATTGAGCAACAGCTGGAGAAGAGCAGACCGGGCGGTTATGTACCTGTGACTCCTGAAGAATGGAAGGCCCATCGCTCTTTGAACCTCAAGTTCGACATAATGGTCGTTCCTTTCTGCACTCTCATCTACCTGTTCTGTGGCTTGGACCGTGCGAATCTCGGCAATGCAGCAACAGACAACTTCACACAAGATGTCGGTATGCCGGCGGACGCCATCAACACAGCGACTTCTTTGTTTGTTGCAACTTACGTACCCTTCATGCCGGTGCGTACTCTCTTCTCCTCAGGCACTGTAACTCATGTCCTCACTAGATAATGACTTATGTCGGTCGTCGTATGGGTCAACCGCGTTTCCTCTGCGTTGCGGGCTTCTGCTGGGGTACCTTAACACTCTGCCAGGCATTCCTCAAGACCGAAGGTCAGCTCATCGCCCTTCGCCTTCTGATTGGTGCGTTCGAATCGGCGTTCTTCTCCACCGCTGCTTCCTACATATCCTTGTTTTATCCGCGATTCAACCTGGCGTTCCGCATCTCGCTGTTCTTCTTCGCGTACGCGATTTCGGGCGGGTTCGGCGGCCTCATCGCCTACGGCGCATTCAACATCAGCGGCAAGCTATGGGGTTGGCAATATCTGTTCCTTATCGAAGGCGGGATCACGATTCTCCTGGCCATTATTACACCCTTTTGGTTGCCCACTAGTCCCGGCACTGCCTGGTTCCTCACCAAATCGGAACAGGCATATGCACAGAAGCGCATGGTCATCGATTCGGCCGAGAATTTAGCCAGCAGTTACAAAGTGACGAAGCGCGATATCATCGAGTCCGTGAAGGACTATAAGCTGTGGATCATGTTGCCGGCAGCCACGCTCACTACTATGGGTCCGACTGGCTTCACTACATTCCTCCCCATAGTTGTCAAGGTGGGTAGCCTCATCCCAGATCTCAATAACGCATCTGATGAGAATGGCAGGGATTGGGGTATTCCGGTGCTATGGCGAACCTCATGAGCGTACCCCCTTACATCGCTGGTGCATGCCTGGTGCTCCTGTTTTGCTGGTCCTCAGATCGGCATCACGAACGTTGCATCCACATCGTCATTGGTCTGACTATCGTCATCATTGGCCTCGCCCTCACCGTGGCACTTCCCGAGGAACAAGTGCATGCTCGGTACGGTGCGCTCATTGTGCTCCTAGCAGGGACGTTCATTGCCACACCGCTGAACGCTTCTTGGCTGGCTGGCAATACTCCGGATCCCGGCAAGCGGGCGCTCGTACTCGCTTTCAACGGCTGGGGCAACATCGCACAAGTGTTCAGCAGCGAGCTCTTCCAGTCGAAGTATGGCCCGTCCTATTCCTTTTCCATGAAGGTCCTTCTCGGCCTGATGATACTCGCGTTCTTCGGGTATTCGTTTGTGGCCATCACGCTACGACTTGTCAATCGCCACAGGGCGAAGAAAGTTGCACAGATGACGCCACAGGAACTCGAGGAGGAGAATTTGTCCGACACTCGGGTCGGCGACAAGAAACTCACGTTCGTTTACGGCACATGAAGGGAACTGTCTTTGTTTCTCCCGGGTTTGGGTCTACCTTTGGTTGCTTATTATGATAGTCGGATGGCCAAGGGACTTGTTGGGTCTTATCACAATGGATGGACCTCGCGGAGTTTTGGAAATCAGAGTTTGCTCGCCCATGACCTGTTTTGGTAGGTTAAAGTGTCGTCATGGACGTCAAGTGCACGAGCACGTATGCTAAGCTGAGATCACGCGACCAGGCTTGCAAGTAACTCTGCTGGTTGTGCCGTGGCTGACTGATCAGTGCCGAGCGCTTCCCCGCATGATCTGCGCCGTCCAAGATTTGTCTCAGATTTGTCCCTGGCGCCTCAGTCACGCGCAGTCCATGCCACGCAGAACTGTGACTGACATATCAGTCAGCATGGTCACTCGCCACATAGAGGTTGCGGTTGCATCGGTATGATTGGATAACGTAACAGACAGCGGCACCCTGTCATCTCGACCTCGGTGCCGCGTCGCCGCCCACTAAGCCGAATGCGGACCAAGCCTGGTGCAGTGCTTCTGGATCTTGGCCGGGTCTGAGCTGTGTTGTTGCCGAGCCCCATCCTCACAGCTCACAGGTGACGTTGCTTGGCTTCTTCGACTCGCTTTCTTTTCCTGGGCGATAGCTTCCCACGGGCTACATCAGGACAAGAGCATGCTGGTCTATGTTCTGGACTTGGTCTCGTAGAATTATCCCGAATCGACCGAAGCCAACGGTCTCGATGCCAGCCAATTCCCAGCATGGTGTCTAACGTAAAATTTGTAAGAGAGCACCACGCACTTGACACGTTCGTCCTCTCTAACCTCAGAAGTCGCCAGCTCAACATTCTTCTCTAATTCCCGCGGGACAAACATACCGGACTCGCCTTCTGAGCTTACCACTTCCAGCGTTCGTATTCAGTCCATGGCCAGACTTCGGTACCATACATTTCGCAACATGCCATGGTGCCATTGACCCCTGTGTTCCGTTGGTCTGTTCCCCCACCTCCTCGTTAGACCACACCGGCGAGACCACGACGTGTCACCCCTCCACGTTTGACAGCAGGCGGACCGGACAGCCCTTGGCACAGCAACGATACGGAAATAACGATACAGACAATCCAGAAATAGGAGACAGGGTCCGTTTGTCTGTTTGTCTGTCCAATAATAGTCCTCCCTGGCCTGGAAGTATGATAATAACCAGTGAGACCGGGAAATAGATACTGTACTCGACCCGCTTAGGTGAGGAACCGCAAATTGCGCTTCGTCCAGCCGCTGCGGGAGAAGCATGCAAGAAGCATGCAAGAAGCATACCAAGGGGGAAGTCTTGTCTTCGCCCATGGCCAGGCTTCCCAGCGTCGGCAAGCAGTGTTACTCTGATTTATCGTTCGTACATTGCACCCCGACCGCGGATGTATACTGTCCTGGCATACATTGGGGTTCGGTAACCCAACCACCGTGTGCAGTATGCCAAGAACCAATGGCGATGTCGAAGCTCCAACGCTGTGTGCCACATTCTTACAGAGACCCAACCACATCCAGCGGGAAACGGAAACGCATAGTGTTGTACCAGAAGACTCGACCGCTGACACCTCGCAGGCCAGTAATACGCGACATGCGAGTAACTGACTTGCACCCTCGATTCCTTTCCCAAGCAGTGAGAGGGAGTGCCATTCTCAGTCCCAGTCCCAGTCCCCACTTCCCCTCCGCAGAGGCCAATCCCACCGCTGCCGCCGGCACCCCCGCGCACTGGCAGACCCGTCTCGGCGGTACGAGAGACACCAGAGAAAGAAAGAGGGTGATCCCCAACCTCCGAAACTGAGCTTAGTCTTAGTCTTACATGTACTGTAGCACTGAGCCGGATTGGCCGGGGTCGCCCGTCGCTGTGGGAACTATGTCAGTAATGTCAGTAGAATATCGTAGTCAGCGGGGAACGTGCTCCAGCATCGGAGGGGGATACGCCCAGCTGCCGCTGTGGCTTGGGCTTGGAAAGGCTCAGCCAGCACTGCGGGAAAAGAGGCTATCAGACCTATGACACTAGCGGTTCTTGGTGTTGGTACAGCAATCAACGATCAATGACTGACCTTTGATCAAAGATCCAGATGATCAAAAGTCCTTTCCCGGACTGCGCGCTGCGCCCAGTCTTACAGTCTCCCTATCGCTGTACGGTGGTCCAGCCTTCCTGCTTTCTGCTGGCCGTAGGCTGCTCGGGTTTGCAACTGGGAGGTTTGGTGTTCGGATGCTCTGCGTGCTGTGCGGTCTGTGCGGTCTGGGCTTGGCAGTAACGTTCCTACATACTTGTGATACCGAGCCATCCTATGCATGCCCATCAAGTTGCCTTGCATTCCAACAGCAGTTGCACACACACAACTAGCGCACCACAGTTTTAGAGGAGGAGGATGATCAAATTCTTTCGAGTACGTCCATACGTTCAGTCGTACGTTCCGTACCCAGTCTATCTCCAAACTTCATACAACAATCCCCATCAAGAGTCAATCAAAAATCAAGAGCGCATGGCCAAGAGCGCAAAGACAAGCAGAGAAACAGATAGAAGAGAAGAAAGAGGGAAAACTATAACACAACATTTTTTTGGGTTTCGAGCCGAGGGTATCTCGTGCGTTTGCAGACAGCGAGAGAAATTGAGATGATTTGATTTGAGACTTGAGATGGACAGACTCGTAGTTGCAGACGACAGATGGGGTAGTGGACAGTGTTGAGACTGATCTGGCAAGCCATAAATAAAAACTGGAAACTGAGAATCGGAAACTGGGAAATCGAGAATCGGGAATCGTTCAAAAAACCAAAACGTCGCGTTGTTGTCGTCTCATTCAGGTGTGGGCAGAGCGGGGTTATCGTGTATCGGGTAATCGTGGACATGAGGGGAGAGGGGGAAGAGACGGTCAACGTCTTCTCTCCCTACCCCTACCTCGTTCCATCTCCGGGAGGACCATTCTGCTCCTCACGCCAAGTGGGACGGGCGGTTCCTGCGTCCTCCTCGCCCGTTCCCGTTCCCGTTCCCGTTCCCGTTCCCGTTCCCGTTCCCGTTCCCGTTCCCGTTCGCGCTCCCGCTCCCGGTCGCGCTCCTTCGGACCATCCTCATCCGTGTCCGTATCCCCAAACCCGCCCACAAGGCGCTTTATCCCCGGACCCTCGTCAGTGCCCACGATCCTGATAGGTTTCGCAAGTGAGCCCGAGCGAGTGCGGCCGTGCCCGTACCCAGGCGGATGCTGGGCTGCGGCTGGGTGAGCAGGTCGGTCCCTGCTCTCCCGCGGCTCGCCACTGAAGGGGGAGTCCATGTATGCGTAGCGCGTAGGTGGGGGCTTGGACGGGCGGAAGTAGTACGGACGTTCGTGTCCTCTCCCATGGAATGCAGACTCTTCATCCTCGTCCTCCTCTTCTTCCTCCGCTACGACGACCTGCTCACGTATCGACATGGACGTGGCAGCGACGCGCTGGACGTTTTCTGCGCTCTTCGGGGGCGTGGGAGGCAGTGCATTCCGCAGGTCCGCGGTGAACTTGGCGTACGTCGCGCTCTCATGGGACATGCGCGGCTGGTAGATGTAGGACGCAGCGGCAGGGTGGATTGGCGCTGAGTTTGGCTTGTACGTCCCGGTGTCTGCGCGGGGGCGACCGTGGTGCGACTGAAGCTCGCCAGAGGAGCTGCAGGAGGACGAGTCTCCCCCTCGCCCACCCGCGGCCCACTCGTCTCGCGATGTGTTGGACGCCATCGAGTTGGTGCTCGTAGTACTGGCGAATGAGGCAGCGCGGGGCTTTGGATGATGCGGGGAGAGGGGGGAGGTGGGGTAGGAACGCAAAAGGTGCGGGATGGCAACACCGCGCGAGGCAGAGGGCGGGGTGTTGTACGCCGCGATCTCGCAGGCGCTGGAGCAGTATGGAGCGGGGCGTGCCTTTGCTGGGTCAGCGAGCGCATGGTTAGGTGGGAATGGTTGGCGTACCGTTGAGTGCCGTGTTGGCACGGGGCGGGAGCAAGTGAGGCACCAGTTCGTGTCCATCTGGTGCGCGGTGAGACTATGTACAGTGCCGGCTTGTCGTTGCCGGTGTTGGTGTGTATGTTGATGCTACTAGTGACAGTGTAGTATTGTGTAGGATAGTGCGAGGCGAGTGTAATATGCTCTCTTGTTGCTACTGTAGGCTAATCGATTGGACCGAGTGTCGTATATGCGCGCTTTGGGATGGCGAGGAGGGAGAAGGCGCTAAGGGGTTGCTGTATGCTCGCCTCGTCGTCGGGGGCCGAGTACATGTAGGGCTGGCCGGGGATTGTCACGCTACTGCAGCACCCGCATACATCGAGCTCGCTACCTCATACACCGTCATCGTCGTCATACACTGCCTCCCCCTCCACTCCCCACGTTGTACCTCGTCGGTTCCCCCCCCCCCCAACAGGCACCTGCCCAACATCGGCATACACCTCGCCCCCGTTGCCTGAACCCCCTTCCTCACCGCGCGGTAGCATCCCCTCCGCCGGTATTCCCCCCTTCATCGATGAGGAGGGGGAGGAGGAGAGAGGGAGGGGGAGACAATGAGGGAGAGGGGAGCATACAGTTAGGTTGATTTATGTACCCTCTCTCACTCCCCTTTGGTAAACGCCATCGATGGATCTCTGCCATACACGGTCAGAAGTCGTCGCCACTCTTCATCACCACATTAGGGTTACTCCAACACATCACACTCCCTCCCTTCATCTCTCCCTCTTGGGTCTCACAAAATAAACACCCAAATCAAGACCTTCCCCTTACACGGAAACCCCCAAAACGTCATCCTCATCCCGAGACCCATTCTTCTCCCGTCTACTCTGCTCCCGCTCTCACTCAGGAACCAAAGACAATCTTCCACACACCGGGTCCAATTCACCACGATTGGCATCCTCATGTCCCCATCCATACCAACCGCAAAATCTCCCCCGCGCGCCTCCTCACACCGTCAACAACACCGCAGAACCTCACATTCCCCCCAAACACGGACGATGTTTCGATGGAATACACCATCCACTTCCTCCGAGGATGAGCGAACAATGCCAGTGTTTGTTTATGCTCCGCCCGGAAATACGAGCGCGGAGGAAATCCCAACATCTAGCTTATCAAACCCGTCAAGCGCGTAACAACGACGTCGTGCTCTGCATATGCTCAAGCATCAGCCATCGGCAAGCCTACCCAACCCCCAAGTGGTGAAAAGGTAATGGCCCCCAGATCTGTAGGGGTCAACCCGACCCGCTCCGCCCGTGCGTGGCGCCCAGCCTTTCCTCCTTTGTTCACCTTCCCACCCTGCACCTACCCTTACACCCCCCAAGGTCTGCGCAGCCTGGACCAAACTGGAATGCGGCTGCGGGTGTCAGCTACAGTACAGTACTAGTACTACTGCCTGTTCTTGCCTGGTCTGGTCTGACAAATCCTGTAATCTTTCACTTTCACTTTCGATTTCAGCGTCAAAGGACAAGTGTCATATTCCCTCTCAAGCGCGTACGTTCCCCCTTCAGCGGGAAACGTCCAGCCCAGCCTCGCCTTTGACACAGTGCCCAGAGAACACCCTCGACTCGCAGAGCGGTGGGTGGGTGTGTTCTCTGGGCACCCCGCCCCGCCACTCCAAGCCCACTCCCCACCCAACCAGACCTAGCCCGGTCCCGCCCGCGCTGACCCCAGGTAACGGGCAGCCACATCCCCACCGTGCCCATTCTCAGGCTCGCGGAACTTTTCCCCTACTCGAGCTGGACTCATATTACCACACTCAACACTAGTTTCTGGATATTCTTTCCCTTTCTGAATCTGAATCAAGGTCCTCTTATACTTGTACATCGGATGAAGCTGCGGTCATCCCCCAAACTAAGGTTTGAGGATGTCCGCAGCTCGCCGGCAGAGCTGTCTGCCTGCCGGTATGACTTCTATTCTTCCTTCATGCAATCAACAATATACACATGGCTCGGAACTGTCGTCGCCCTTGCATACCTGCTCGCGTGCCGACAAGACATCCAATCGCATGCAATGCAAGGTTGATTATCATCAAGCGAGAGGGTTCCTAAGGGCAGGGGAACGAAAAAAAAAACTCTTCCCTCACTCGCCCCAACGGAAGACTAGTACCCTACACACCCTCCGAGCCGTCCTGTCCCAGTCCCAGTACCAGTACCAGTACCCCCAGAGCAGAGCTGCGAACCGCGAACTGCGAACTGCGCGGCATCCCATTCCTCTGCTCGTCTTCTGCCGATAGCCGGTCCCCGTCGGGAAGAACCCTGGCCCTGCCCTGCCCTGCTGCCGCAGATCGCTACCCTCTCTTTGGGTGTAAAACACCCCCAGAAGGAGGACAGTACTAGTCGAGCCTGGCAAGGTTCTCCCAGCTGCAGAACGAGACTACATGTACGCGCTGGAACAGAACACGCGGGACGTAGAGGGCAAACGGACGCGCTGTGCGTCCTGCTCTCCTTCCCCCACTCAGAACCAACCATCTGCATCTTGCTACCTCCTCTGGATCCAGAAGAACGCAAACCCACGGTCAGTTAAGGCTTGGCTTCCGCACTCCGCTTTGACTGGACTGGGTTAGGAACTCCCACAGTCCACCCGGCTGACAAACGGAAGCTCTTTGCCCACCCCAAGCTGAGTAGCCGCGTTTGACAGCCCTTCCGCTTCGCCCTTTCCCCCTCCTCTTGCCCCTGCCCTGCCCCCCTGCGCGCAGGACCAATTAATGACAATGAGCACTCGCTTGGCTCCCCCCCCGCCCCCCCTTGCTCCCCTAGCGTCTCCGCGTGCTCTTCCCAGCTCCTTTCCAGACGAGGGGTACGGCGTCTGCCGAGCGAGGAAGCACCCACCAGATTTCGAATAAGGTTACATCCCAGTCTTCCCATTCCAGCGGGGCATGCTTCCTAACCCCTTCCCAATCCAGCACCCAGCACCCAGCGCATGCACCAGCAAAGCAGCGGGCCAAAAGTCACCCATTACTCATTACTCCCCGCCTTACATGACACGTCAGTCACGGCTCCGTGACCCCACTGTATTCTCACCCCACCCCACCCCAACGTTCTGGACCGCAATCGGTCAACATATCTGTCGTCATACGAAAACAGGAGCATGATCCTTCTTCTCCCTCTGTTATCGCCCTCATCGCGATCAAGATCCCCGGCCAGCGAGCACCATCCTGGCCGCGGGGGATAATGGCTCGTCTGGGTCTTGCCAGCTCATCCTCCGCCGGGACCCGTACATCCCGTACATCCTTCTTCCTAGTTGCTTCCCACTTGTTCTTTGAATGAATCCGAATCACGTTCTTATTGTTCACTCCAAAAGCGGTTGCAACCCGCCCAGAAGGTGCCCCCAATCCCGCGAAGGTCTGCCACCAATTTTCGAACATGTTTCTCGTTCTTGCCGCACCACTCAGAGCATGCCAGTGCTTCGCCTCCTCCGCGCGTGTCACCCCCCGGTTGGCTGGCCTCAGGCTCCCGGGTGCTGAGAACCCACCCGGTAACTTGAACACAAGTACTGCCGAAAGGCCCCCGAACAATCGGGCCATCACCTATCAGCCGCAGCCGTCGGCCATCTCCCGCCCAGCACGTCGGGGCGAGGTTGCTGTTACTGTTCATGTACGGCACTGCGCAACGAGTCGTTCGATCCAGCTCGGGGCGGGAAAGATGCGAGAATCCCGCCCAGGCCGATCACGCACCGGTGCCGTGCCTGTGCTCGGACGACGCTAGAAGATACCTCTTCTCGCACTCCGGCCAACAAGCGTACTTCCGAGCAAAGGAAGTCGTGATTCTACATCTTGTGTCCCCTCCACAAGTGCACGCGTACGTCCCGCCCGCCCACGCACCCCCCGGCATGGAGGGAAAAACACCCGCGCGAAGCCCCGCGAAATCTAGGAACCGCGTGCCCACCCGGCCCCGACTTTCCCGTTTCGGCCACATGCCTGATCGTGTCTTCTCACCAGATTCGGTCCTTCCAGCGGCGGTAGCTCTGGCGGGGACCGATGGCCGACGGCCGAGTGGGAGCACCGCCGAGCTCGGCGGAAGAGTGCGATGCACGGCGGTGGGTTTGGGAGAACTGGTGACATGCCCCGCGGGTTCCTGGCCGTGCTACAGATTTTACAAAGAGAAAATTGCGCACGCGCATTCGTGCGCATGAGCTCTGCCCAGTTCCCGAGACAGGCATGTCGGTTCTTTTCTTTCTACGCGATAGCTGTTTCATGAAGTTAAGGAAGCAAACTCGCTTGGAAATTTGGCGGTTCGAAGGCCAAGCTCCTCGAGTTTCCAACTTGTTAACAGCTCAATGACCGGCGCCCGAGACCCGCAGCAGAGGGTTATCAACATGAACATGTTCCTGGAGAATCTCATCCCTTGCATCACGGAAATGGCATTGCCACGTTTAACGACTTCTTCTCACAGTTGTGCCCATGACCGCCGGAGCTCGAGCATGAACAGCTGAGGTTACGTGAGGATTACGCTAGGGTCTGGCTAGGGTCTGTCCGTGCTTGGAGGCGCAAAGGGATGAAGAGCAAAACTTTGGCCCATTCCCATTTCTGGATAACGCCAGGGTCTAAGATCTCCGTGCTCCACCTGTGACGAATAAGAATGCCCTTGAATCCAAGGAGGGGGCGCACCGCGCCCCCGTTGCGGAGCAGCGGAAATCCTCGAGGACCCCACATACCAGCATATCCAGGTAAATCCAGCCCTCGTCCAGTGGACCCCTCACAGCATCATGGGTCTCGCAGCTCGGCGTGCTCAGACCCAGACCCGCATTGCATATCACATGATATGTTGCGTGCAGTACATGAATACAAGGACAGGACTAGTCCTCATATTACTTCAAGTATCTACTTTGAAAGGCTCATATTTGCTGTACTTAATATCTCAAACAACCAAGCATCAGAGGACTCATGCCCCCTCATCAAGCAAGCACAGTTTCAGGTTGACCCAGCACAAGCAGCACACAAGCCTCAACCTCCCACAAGTTCTGCATGGCCAAGTTCAAGGATTCAATGATGAGGCATCAGAACCAGTGACAAGATGCACATCCTCCTCACTTCCAGCCTGACTTGCTTGCGCATATGTCCCAAGCAGCAAGGCAGACTTTGAATTATTAAGACCTCCAAGCTTACAAGGAGTTGCTGTGAACTGAGGCCAAGCACTGCTGAATGAGTAAGTGTTGACTCTAGGATCTCTCAACACACTCTGATTGCCATGCCAGGTGTTCCCGAGGAGGCTGCTGCCTTGCAGTTTCTTGCCCACAGTTCACTAGGAGGCAACATTGATATCATGGATGTTGATGCCATGGATATGGGACAGATGAGTGCAGACCCCTCAGCACCTAGTGCACCACTCACACATGGAGAGGATGAATGGGAGCTTGAGGAGGACAGCCTGAGCAGTAATCAAAGTGCCCATGCTAGCACAAGTGTGCAAGAGCTGTGGCAGCACTGCCAGCATGCATATTCAGCTTTGTATCCCTGTTCGAGAACTCACACATCTTGTTGTAGACCTTCTGGCACTCACACTCAGCACGCTTGAGGCCCAGGGTGCTACTCAGAGTGCCTTGCTTCAATGGTGAGTCGCTGGCATCAAGCAACACCAGCCTTGGCTTGAGCGTTCTTTGCCTGGCAACATGGACCACCTCGGACAGAAGAATCTGAATTGGGGTACCACAATATCTCGACAGGAGACCCACTTGCAGATGGGTTATTACAAGGCACCAAGGAACCACCCTCACACAAGGAGACAGCACACGTACAGGTAGTGACTTGGAAGGGTATCTTGTATTGTGTGAGCACCAGGTCTACTGCTGACATTTGAGCAGCACTAGAGGACTGCTAGTTCTACTGCTGACATTCAAGCAGCACTAGAAGACTGCCAGTTCTACTGCCGCCATGAAGGAGAAGATTTTCTAGCTCATGTTGTTGAGCATGGCTTCTTCCCATGCACTCCCAAGCTTCCACAACTTGTGATCTCCCTCAATGTCTTAGAAGTTTTGCATCATTGTCAAACTTGAGCAAATGTCTCCCATGAGACATTCATGTGCATTCTCTGTGATCTTCACTGCATAAGTCACAAACCCTCATATCAGCGCCTTGAATTACATTGCTCACTCCTCACCTAGAGGCCCTATCACCAGTACTTTCGTGTCCAGCTCTGTCAAGCATACAATGCTTGGGTTGAGATGCTCATATTCATTGAGGGTCTTGTAAACAAGGGATTTGATCATGATGTGCCTGATTGGCAAGTACTAAACTCATGTGCAGCTTGCAAGTACCGAGTGTGTCCAGTAATGTTCCTCTCTGCAACCTCTCTGATTCTTGGCCCAACTTGAGGGTGAACCCAAGCTGCTCACAGCAAGCTTGTGGCACTCAATGGTAACAACTCCTCAAAATGATTTCTTGCAGCCAGGTTGCAAGACCTGCATGAGTTCACAAGTGACTACATTCTATCACCAGACTTCATGGATGTGTACAAGGACAAGGGAAGAGGGAAGAGGGCAAAAGATGGATCAAGAGGCATGGAATCCTCATCAACAGACCACAAGATATCTTGAGACCTGCTGGAGCCCTCAGAGGACATATGTACGTCAAAGTGGAAGGCTTGGAAAGCAAGGGACAAGCTATTGCACTGGATGGATGCTCTGCATTCCATGGGCAACTTCCTCATTGCTAGGTGGCACGGCATGAGCACAGCATGATCCTGTGGTCTGCTGACATGATCCAAAGCAGTGAACTGTGAGGCAGCAGATAAACCTCTCCACTTCACTTGGCTTATGTCTCCCCTAGAGCCAAGTATCCTCTGGCATGCTTGAGCAAGATTCTAGAAGTTTTCGGACCTCATATCAGCCTTGGCTACAACATTGGGTGCAAACACTCGAAAACCATGGCTCGCAGCAGTCTTGGAGCAAGAGCTGAGTCACTCAGGGTGCAATTCTTTGTGGGTGCCTTTCATGGGTACGCACATAATTGCAGGTGCCAGCTCGGTTTCCATCCTCAGTTCCTGGCCACCACAGGTCTCAAGGATTTTGAAACAAACAAGCAGATTTCCTTGAAACAAAATCTCACCATCCACTTGTTTCAACATGGCTCTGCATACCACAGGCACATGTGCTTGCATTTTTTCTGGTCTAGGTGGGATGAGGGCTGACATGCCAGCCTTGGTAAGCCCTAGTAAAATAGCAAACCTCGAGAGCTCACAATCTGCTAGGTGATTTTATCTATGACAATTATAGGCAGGCACTCCACATCTTGAACACCATGCAGCTGAGTGTCATCAAGTTCCAGCACTCCCGACATCTTACAGACAAGGACTTCACATGGTTCCTGCATGAGGAGCAAGAATACTTTAATTCTCTCCTCCAAGAGCCTGAGGAGGATGTTCTTGCATTCAAGTACCTTGAAACCCTTGAGTCACAGTCATCTGCAAAGTAAGTCCATGCAATGTACCTCTTGCTGAGGACTGACCCCTAGGCAGGCAAAAGCTCCAAGATCTAGGTTTTGATGGATTCATGAATCAAGGACCTGCAACATGGGATGAGTCCATGCCATCTGTGAGGCATTGTTCACTTGAGCGAGACTACATTGGCACCATTCAGACAATTGAGCATCTTGAAGTCCTTGCTTGTGAATACAAGAGGCTTCTTGGAACAGCTTGTTGGACGTTGGGATGCATCAAGTGGGAAACCGCAATGCAAGATTGCAATTTCCATGAGTACAACAAGGCACTCAATAACTTGGAGTCTCTTGTGGTCCAATGTCTCTTTGAGCTGGAGAAACTGGACTTACATGGAACCGGTGGGATCATTCTCAGCCCAGGAGCTAACATCTCACTAACCCTTGCATCTAGGCTACAAGATGTGCCAAGCTCTTGGGGAAGCTATTCACTGATGAAATGATGCCATTCGAGCCGCCCTGAAGAAGTACAACAAGATAGCAATCCAAGTAGCTCAACCCATGCTCTCCCTTCAAGAAGTCCTTGCCTACTCTTGGTTGTCTGACTTCTTGCTTCTTCAATACTTGCAAGACCAGTGAAGAACAACAGTGAGATCACCTAGAATGGGGGTGACAAGCTGAGTGGCAAGGATCATTCAATCCTTGTGATGTGCACTCATCCCTCATCCCCTCTCTGTCTCATACCACCATCATCCTCGACTCTAGTCTCTCTCACCCAGCATGGCTCCTTGCAACAACAACAACAACCCCCCCTCAATGCTGTGGTCCTTTTGGATGGATCCTCATGACCACAACAATGAAGCTCATTGCTTGGTCAAGAGACATGACTATGCCTTTATGACATGGAAGTAGCTGGTATACCTTGGCATGTGCTGGAACCTGCTGGAAGGATTGGATGGTCAGGTGACCTGCTGTGCATGGCTGTGCATGACCTCATATGACCTCATCCTTGGTCATATGACCTGATCACCTGACTAGGCTGAGTAAGCAAGATGTTCTAGCAGGTTCCACCACAGAGGTATAAATATAAGGCCTACTCTGCCTGGGCACTGTCTCTTCAGACTTGGTCTCTTAGGATCATCCACAGGTACCTATACTGTAGATAGGTCTTAGTCATCAGGTCTACTCCACTTCCTTGTTGCCTGCTTAGACTCTTGGCACTCTTAGGTGAGCAGACTTAGTCAGCCTGTGTTGCCCTAACAACATGGAATGCAGCTAGGCACACACTGGCCGAGGAGTGGAGGAAGGAAGGTTGGTGTTGCTCACTTCTTGCCCTACATGATGTTGATCATGTATCTAGGGTGAGTATATCAAGCAGTGGGGGATCTGGCATTTGACCTCACAGTGTGAGAGCAAGTGGCCCAGCTCAATGCCAATGAGGTCAAGTGTGCTGAGGCACATGAAGCTGTTCTCTTATTGCAGTCTTGAGCAGAGAATCAAGTTTGTTTGCCTGGGCAGGCGAGGCTCATGGATACAAACCACACAACTGACTGGCTCAGAACCACAGCTCTTGACTTCAACAATTGAACTGGTGGTCACATTTGTGGGTTCATATTCCAAGGCCATGTCAATGATTATGCAGTCCCCTCATATTTTGGTAGCACGATTGCATGAGAATGACTCATGCAAGTCTTCAGGTTGTCTGTCGCAGAGCTGGGTTTACAGCTCAAATCATGGGCTTTAAGTGGGGGTGCAAGAGGTGAGCTTGGGATCTTGTGCCAAGCCCAATCATTCTTGTCTGACTCACACACAGATGCAGCTGAGAAAACTCAAAGTCAAGCCAATGTGTATAAGCACAGGATTCAATCAATCCTGGACTCTCGCCTTGAGATGATCACTTGGGGCAAGTGGACAAGCATGGCATACAAGTGCTTTGGTCATGACATCAAGAACAAGTTCCTCATCACACTACAAGGCTGGCCCCTTGAGAAGCTGGTCAATCCCTTGAATATCTGGAACATGGCTCAATTGGCCAAGGTTCGAGACACCCTGAAAGACGGCAGCTGCTCCTTTTGCAAGATGACAGCATTCAAGCTTGAAAAGTGAGCTGCAGTGTGTGCCAAGGACAGTGCTTGTGCACAAGAAGTCAAGAGGCAAGGTGACTGCACTGAGCACATGCAGGCAAGTGCAAGGAGAAACAAGTGCAAACGACAGAAGCTTCCCCATGACTTGCAGCCCACAAACAAGTCAATATCAATGGTTAGGCTTCTACCACCCTTGCCTAGACCTGAGTTGACTGGTGAGGCACTGAATTGAGGCCTTTCCACAATTACACTCAAGAGTTCTGCACCTCAGCAAACAAGGATGGAGGTCGTCAAGCCGCCACCATGAGCAGCACCTCCTATACAAGCTCCTGAGCCGCCTCGGCTTGAGTTGCTTGAGAACATCATACTGCAGGGGTATTGGTGAATTCTGGGAGTTAGTGGTTCACCTGACATGGTCCTTGTCCCTAGTCAAGTGCTTGAACCTCATGTCCCTTTCCAGGACTTGACAAATGCTTGGTTAGGAGACTCCAGCACATTGGGATGGGTCTAGTTTATTACAATGAGCAATATCAATATCTCGTGACCAAGTCATGGTTACAAGTCAAGACCAAGTATCTAGAGTCCATGAGACAGTGCGACTAATGCTTCAGCACCCTCCTTGAGAGCTTTCACCTCGGCAAGCTTTCTCTTGTGTGCTCTCAAGTGCTCGAGTGATAGTTCTTTCGAAACTGATGCTAGCTCTTTTCTTGGCCTGATATTCACATTGGTAGGCTCAGAGCTGCTCTAGATGCCTGTCATAACATAAGTAATTTGTTGCACGAGGGCCTAGTCGAGTCTGCTGTACCTGTGAGCCCACTGCCTCTTGGCCTTGACCTCTGCACTCAGTGACTTGGGCATGATACCATGCAAGAAGCCAGTCCAGCTGACCTCAAAGAGCATACTCTTTGTGATTGTAGCACCATGAAGGCAATAATAGTGATATTTGTTGAGGTCTAGTGTGTTGTCAAATGCAGCCATGACAAGGTTTTGTGGTTGGCCACATGAGAGTCAGCATCATGAGCATCATGGCCTATGCTTGCTAGACCCAAGACCCAGCCTCAGGCACACGGGTCTCCCCCTGGCTATGCTATTTCTCGAGAATTTGGCTGGATTGGCTGGATGCAGGGGTCCTAGCCAAGCATCGCGCATCCGGGGCGGGGGCGCGTTGCGGCCCCGTGGCGTTTACTCGGGGCTAGGGGTGCTACATAGGTGCCGTGCTCGGGCATGAGCGCGGCCCGAGCTTCGAAGTTTCCCCTTGTCTCTTGCACATGTGCGTGTTATTGATGGAGAAGATTGTCACTGACGTTGACTTCCGGTCCCGGTCTTGTTGTAGGCACGTTTGGTACACATCCAAGGGTCGGGCAATGTCGGTAAAGCGATTAGCACTGGGCGTAACCGGCCTAAGGACGGACCTACCGGATCTTAAATGCGGAGGAGGTGGGGATGCTGTTTCTGTTTAGATCAATGATGTTAACTATGTTAGACCAGCCTGAGACAGACCCATGTTACAGAACATCGATGTATATGTGCTGAATGGTGATGTGGTGATCGGCCTCGGTGAGCCGTGGCGCCGATGCATCGACATGATGAAGCTAACTTGAATGCGTGGAATAGGTCCTCGGGACTGCTTGACAATCGCCGTTCTTTTGGATGAAATCTGACGATGTCATACCATGCACACGTAAAGGATTCATACGTTGGTTATTACACGAAGTGGAGGAGGCGGGGTTACCTTGTGATCCCTCAGCGCAACAAGTGCAACTGCCTTTTGGGCAGCAGGTGGTATGTATGTCAAGTGGGTTTTTTACTCAGCTAGACTATGACATAAGTCAGCACGCAAGAGATGCGGATATAGACTTCAACGTACTGTCTCAAGTCCAGAACCGGGTTGTTATTGATGCGAGGTGGAGGGAGGCGCACTGGCAACAATCAATGGAGCTAAATAATCCGGTGTCCCGAGGCCCAATCTTCTCAACGACCTGCAAGCGATCCGTCAATACAGCGCGGTGCGTGGATGGGCCCAGGTGAAGAATGCGGGGTAAACCACTGTGCCTCCATTATTTGGCCTACAATGTCTGACGGCCCCTAGGGTAATGTGGGGTAAATAAATTTCCTTGAATAGCTGTCATCGCCGTCTCTGCGCCCTCTCACCTATACCAGCCCGACGTCGCGTGACGCGTCTGACAGCAGTCCACTGCCTTAACTGGCACACCATTGCAATCATTCCAACGACGTGACAGGCTACCGGCTGTTAAGAATTCCCTGCGATGGATGTTGGCAGCACTATATGGAGCGTCGACGTCGCACTAGCCAGCGGCCTCGCCAGCTTGCTGGGACGATTTACTTCGATCTGCTTGGACTCGCGGTCGGATCTCAAGCAATTCAACAAGAGATTAAATGGCGAGCATACTTGTCAGCGGACACACAACCACGACGGTTCCCAACGGGGTGACTGCGACCCTGGTCAACGGCAAGGACGATCATCTCCACACTGATGGAGTTGATGCGCCTGTCCCGCTCACTCTCGAGCTACCCAATATCTTTGCGACACTGCTGCCTTCCACGCCCCTGTCCGAGGAAGAATCGAGCAAGATCGCCCAGGAATGGCTCGACAAGCTCTCCGCTATCCTCCAAACTGGTGCTGCACCGAGCACGGATGAGCTCAGCAGTGTGCTGGCTCACTCGATCGTCCCTTGGTGGAAGGACCACCTCTCCCTCACCTGGGCGTTGCGCTGCGCCCATGGCATTCCCAATATCACCAATCTCCTCGCTCCGGTCATCCCCCTGCGCAAGCCCGTTGCCCCGGCGCTGACCAAGGCGATCTACATCCCCATGACTGGGACGCTGCAGTTCGTGCAAGCGCAGTTCGACTTCGAGACCCCCCTAGCGAAGTGCAAAGGCGTTGCGTGCCTGATTCCGGAGCAGGGGGTAGAAGAGGGAGATGTAGCGTGGAGGGCATGGGTCGTTATGACCCAGATGGCGGACTTGAAGGGTCATGAAGCAGATGCTCAGAGGTTGAAGGTCCCAGACGAGGGTGGGGAGGAGCAGGAGGAGGTCGATGTGCTGATCATAGGCGCTGGACAGTCGGGATGTAAGCCCTGGGGATCTCATTGCCCCGAAAGGAAATGCTGACCAGATTTGGTCAGTGCAACTTGCGGCTGCTCTCCGCACACTGTCCTTCCGCGCCCTCATCGTCGATCGCGTAACTCACGTGGGCGACCACTGGAAGCGTGTCTACGAATCATTCAAGTTGCACTTGTCTAAGTATTACTGTCAGCTGGCATATCTCCCGTGGCCAGAGTCGACCCCTTTCTTCCCGAAGATCAGCGACATCGCAAACTTCCTGGATCAATATGCACACGAGCTCCATCTCAACGTTCTCTTAGAGAGCGAGGTCAAGAAGGCGGAGTTTGACAAAAAGAAGGGAAGCTGGAATGTGCCCATCAGGACGGGCGGAACGGAGAGGACCGTTCGAGCAGAACATCTGGTGTTCGCGACTGGTCTTTCGGGGTATACGCCCGCGATGCCCAATGTGCCTGGAAAGGAGATCTTCAAGGGCGAGGTCATGCACTCGCTGGATTATCGCGCGGGAGAGAAGTACAAGGACAAGCACGCGATCGTTGTCGGCACTGCGTGCTCGGGACACGATATCGCGGCGGATCTGTATCGCAGCGGTGCTGCAAGTGTGACCATGATCCAACGGAAGGCGACCATGGTCTTTGCGGAGAAGGCGTTCCGCGCGGCTACGGGCGTTATGTATAACGAAAACGGCCCGCCTCTCGAGTATGCAGACAGACTGAGCGAAGTCATGCCCAATCAGCTGACCAAGCTACTGATGGCGCAATATCCCCCAACAGAAGAATACGTGTGAGTGAGCGGTGCCTTGCGTAAAGAAGCACCGTAGTTCTCATACTCCGCAGTGTAATCGAAGCGGGACTTGAGAAGAGAGGCTTCCGTCTGCTCGAACGCGATCTTGGACACATCATTTTCGAGCGCCAAGGTGGACACTATCTTGATGTTGGCTGTTCGCAACTGTACGTGCACCATAATATTATTATGTATTGGTCCACTGACCCTGCCCAGTATTGTCGACGGCAAGATCGGAGTAAAGTCGGGCGTACCTATCAAAAATTTCACCGAGTCTGCCCTAGCGTTTGAGGACGGGACTGAATTACCCGCTGATGTGATCGTATTTGCGACCGGGTACGTCGTTCAAATTCTTATTCAGACTCCGATGGCGGGGCTGATTATGTTCGATGGGTCTCAGTCACAACACTTTGACAATGAAGGAAGGTATCCACAAGGTCGTTGGCGCCGAGTCTGCCAAGGGGCTAAAGGATATCTGGGGTCTTGATAAGGAAGGTCACGTCAAGGGCGTCTATAGGGATAACGGAGGTCAGCTGTTTTCCTTTCCCGATTATTGTGCCTCTGTCCTCATAGGTCATATAGTCCAGAATTTGTGGGCTGCCGCTGGACCATTCTCCTTCACACGGTACAACTCCAAACTTCTCGCAATGCAGATTGTCGCCTCCCATTTCGGGCTCCTCCAGGATCGGTTTGATGTGTAATTCGTGATTATTTGGCCAGAAGCATGTGCCGAGCTGAGCGATAGAAGATAACCAGGCGGTTGGAAATTCGGTTCTTGATATATCCCAGCGTTCTCCGATGTGCCGCTCTCTGCCATGTCACACTTCCACAAGGTCGCCCCGTGGGGTGACGAATTGTGAAACGCTGCTTCTCGTTTACATTCCTTACTTCTATCGCAAAATGGAGAGTCTATTTTCCGTGTTGTGTGAACATTCCGACAATTCCGTGGCGGGGACGGATGCTGACAGCCGATCGTCCGTTTCGGAGGTTCTGGAGATCGCCGACGGATTTGCACCCTTGATTCTGGTTGTTATGCGGCTGGTAGCAACTCAAACGCTACTCTATCTCCCAACCATCGCTCCGATGCATAGCCCAGCCCGCTCGGTCTAATGAACAGGATAAGGCTACCCGTCCACATGACTGCAAACACTGTCAAAGCTACCTCAATTCAATTCAAGGATAATCAGCCGCTTGACTACAATACAAGATAAGAATAGAGGGCTGCATGCGCTGACTATAACTGTACAGGGGAGGCCGAGTAAGCTAACACGAGGGGAAGAGAAAAATATCATATGACACAGAGTCGGGTGCTGATCGAGACGCTCAGCTGGCTTGCTGATCGAAAGACCACGGCACATTCCTTGTCGAGTCTGCCGCGGATGTGGTGCCCACGGCCTCATTGGTAAACACACGTGGGCTTGAGTTGTCGGAAGTGGTTGTGCTGTACAAAGGGGTTGTGTCCTGGGTAGCGAGTAGCATTGAATTGAGCCATTCGTTGAATTGAGGATCCATGAAGCCATGGCCCCCAAAGTTGAGATCATTCAGCCAACCATCCTCACCAAACATCGGCTGATTCGGCGGTGCAGCCATGGGCTGTGCGCCTTCACTACTGGGGTGGAAAACACTTTCCAATTGGCTGGAAAAGAATGGCTGGGTGAAGGGGTCCGAAGAGCTCAGGGAGAAGTTTGAATACTGGGCCTACACAATGCGTGAGATTAAGTCCGAGGCAGAAGGAAACCAACCCACAGCATCGTTCAAACTAACTAACGGAGTCTCCAAACTGTTCAAAGGAGGGACTATGGGAGCTGGACCAGAGTTAGCGTCCTTCACTGGAGTGTTGATTGCTGAAGAATCTCCGTTGGCGGATTCTCTTTGATTGGGACAGGTGGGACAGTCAGGAACCGCGGTATTTGCTTGGGTAGGAGGTTGCCAGTCGAGTGTCGGACAGTGCCCTGTGATGACCTTTCGCATGACGACAGAAAAGTTTCTCAGAACATCATACAATAATCCAGGGAATTGCCAACTTCACGCAGTTAGTCTACGCGAATAGTTTTATGCACAGAGAGAACTCACCGGTCCTCGAGAGATCGTAACGTTTCCAAACACAGTTCTACTTCTTTCATGCCCTCGAGGTTCTTTCTTTCCCACATGTTCATGAGTAGCACAGAGCCAGCGACAAATCCCGACAAGCTGGCCTCATGAATCCGACCCACAAGCAGGTTTTGGAGACGGAGCTTATTGAGAGCATTGGCAATTTCGTGGGAAGCACAGGTAGAGATAGATAAAACAGGCACTTGTGAATGGGCAGCTCGCTTGCTCTTCGAAAAGAAAGGTCGATATAAGATTAGCTGACACGCATGATTAGAGCCAACACAGGAAAACAAAGGAAAGGAACGCACCTGCACCCAATAATATTGGACATGGATGAGAGAGGAGAAGAGGAACTTTTCTCGATCTGTTTGATCCGGCTTGTACACGAGATCCTTGTGTATGTTTCCCCTGAGATGCTCGAGACGAGTGCGCACGACGTTCAAGTAATTTACTTCCCGATCGTGCACATTACCCGAGTAGTGACGAATCATATGCAGCTCGTCGCGCTTGTGGCTAGCAAACTGCAAGAGACGAATGCGAACGTTCAACGATGCAATGCGATGAGAGAAACCGATAGGATTTTCCTGCCCCTGCTGCATCAGGTCCAGTGCAGCATCGTCTAGCTCCAGGAGTAAGTCGACATCATAGCTGCACGATGCAAAGTAAGGGAGGGATGTCAGTAAAAAGTGACAGGACTTACTCTTGTTCTGGCATACAAAAACTTCGATCCATTTCCAGAGCCATTGTCCTTTCCATTATATACAAAACCCAGAATACTCGTTTCCGCATCTCATATTCAAATGGATGCGCTTGCGCGCGTTTGAGCCATTCCCTCTTCAAGTGCATGCCAGCATCTTGCACATATCGGAGACCAAGGCCTATTAGAGCCCATCCCGAGGACGGAAAGAGAGGTTGACCTCCAAGAAAATATGTGAACAGAATCAAGGCTTGTAAACGGAATAGGGAAGGAGGGGCATATAGAGGAGATCCCACACGACTGGGGATATATGAGAAACATCACTGGATCTCGTGGTCAAATACACTTACATAATCTCTTTCCAATATTTGATTCCTGCGTAGAAGTAGTGACCCGCTGCGTCCGGCTGTCCAAGAGCCCTCGGATCATCGACGTATTTCGTGGCAATGGCGAATACGCCAAATGCGACTGCCACCCAAGTGTTGTCCTGCCTCATTGCTGGGTCGGCATACTGACGCATGAATGTGGGTCTGTGCAACAGGGGCAATACACTGTTCCATCTCTCGAAAAATGCGTTGATGAGCAACATGGCCAAGTCTGGTTCGGGCCACGCGGGAGGATAATATTGCAAGTTGACCTCGTCGATTAGGACGGAATCGATCACCCGGAACTCAGGCCGCACACGTAACTGGAAGAATTTGTCCTTGTCGAAGCTTTTGCTCCCCATCTCTGCGAGTTGCTGGTTCACAACCTGAAAGTGGCTACTTTTACCGTGAAACATTCGCGGCTCTTGTGAGATGCGCATGCCGGTTGGATTGCCCAGCCAGAGATCCTCGTATCCATCGGCCAAAGCATTCAGAGCAGCCCGAGTCTCTGGATCTTCATCTTCCTCCTTTCTTGGGTTCCAGTCGGAGTCCTCCGTGTCAGAAGATGTCGAGTCGGCGGCGGCTCGGCGAGCTTTCGCAAGCTCGCGCTTCAGGTATTCCACCCGCCGCTCAAGTTCTCCGACGCGCAACTCCAATCCGTCGACATACGTCTTGGATGGTGGCCATTTGTTGGGTTGGTGATTGTATGTGCATTCATAACCGTTCTTTACGCTGATGGTACATTAGTCCCACGTTCTCCTCAGCAAAAATATGGCGAGCACACCAATAAGAGCACGAATTCGGTCCACCTTCCTCGCCATTGCATCTAATTTTCCGTCGATGGCATGCCTAATGAATTTGAACAATAGCGTTGAAGGGAAGACAGGGAAATTTACTTACATCACAAGCCTTTTGTCGTTTCTGATGGACCCTGGACGATGACGACGCTCTCGGCGGTGCTGGGGACGGTGCTGACAGCTCTTCCATAACCGTTCCCCAGAATGGCAAGAAAAAAAAGTCTAGAGAAAAGGAAGATGAATGAACGGTCTAGTCACCCTAATGAGCTGGCCAGGATGCGCAAGAAAGAAAGTTGTTCGTCAGCCGTCGGAAGCTGGCTGCGGAGGTCGATGGCTGATGAGACCTTCCCGGCGTCTGACGCGCGCTCCACGCCGTCCCTGACATGCCAAGAATAATATGTGACAACCCGATGACTCGTTCCTCACTTAGTGACGGAACTTTTAGAAAGAATGTAACGAGGAGGGCAGGGTGACGTTGTCGACGACGTGGTGGTGGGTGGGAGAGCGTCGCACATTGCTCAGGTGGAGGCAATGCGCGTCGTCAAAGTTTTCGTACGGGCCACGTCACCCCCTTTCGTTCGTCCTCCCAACCAGTGTTGTGTCTGCCCAGAGCGGTCTTCCCATTGTCTAGTGCTTGCTATTTCATTATCTGGGGTGTTGGCTACGAGCTATATGCTTGAGGCGGCCCTGTTTTCATCATGACTGTCAACAATGGATCCCAATCAAGCAAGAAGAGGACCGGACGATCCAGGCTTCCCCGGAGCTCAGAGTGGAAGGCTAGGAGGCTGGATGAGCACAGGAGGCATCAAAGACAGGCTGGTTTGGGAGGGAATGGTGCGCATCCTGGGCATTTCCGTGACATTTCTGAGCCCTAACACATCACACAGCGGAGCAAATTTTGTCCACAACTCCGGACACTTTTCTGCACCATGCAAGAAACAACTCAGCCGCAATTTCTACACTAACAACACTCCTCTCGGAAAATCCCCTTCCTACCCCTATTCCTCTTGCACCTGAGAATGGAAATTGGGTGTACAGGGTTGCTCCGTCTCCCTCTGGCCACCTCCCTTCCTCTCCTCTCTTTCGTATCCATGATGGCCTTGATTCGAAATGGCTTCAACCATTCGTGAACTTCCTGAAGCAGTTCTATTCCACCAATCCCACTCCACACCAACCACAAGATTCATACAGCTGCTCCACTGTGCCTGCCTTATTCTTGGGTGTCTGGAGACGGTCCAATCTGGTTCCACATTTCTCCAAAGACACTATCGCACAGTCTCCTGCCACCCTTCGATTGATGGATCTCATGTTGGAGTGCCTGAATAGGTTTGGGGATAGGGCTATGCAGCTGCTTGCTAGCCATGAGCCAGAGGTGGCTGAGGAAAGGAAGAGGTATGCATCTGCTGCCCATCAACTTGCTTGCCTGGCTACTTTGTCTTCCATCAAGATGATCAATAGAGGAGGGTGAAATAGCAATGATATGAGCACCATGTTGCTCCTTATGCATGTATATATCAGTTACAGCAATGTCTCTGCATAATACACTCTGCATAGAGCACACTGCTCAAACACAATGTGTGATTCAGACAATACAGACAGAAGTCAAGCTCTCCAAAGCCTCTTCTTGGGTGAGCCATCATCACCATCTGCTCTGTGCAGTGCAGGACTTTTGGATGGTGGTATGACCACCTGTTCTGCAGCTCCTGCTAGCTGTGTGCCTGGTGCAGAAGGTGTCATAGATGAAGATGCAACCATTGAATGCAAAGCTGGTTCTGCTTGCAAAGGCTGATTTGGGATTGACCTTGACCAGCTGAATCATGACTTGGATGGTGTGGAGGGGGTAATGGAACTTGTTGCTGAAAGGAAGTCCAGGTCCAAAATCTGCATGATGTACATCAGCAAGTAAGTTCACATGTCCACATTCAAAGTATACACACACAAACAGCAAAGCAGTCTGGCACCTCTACACTCTCAGCATCTGTCAGAGCCAATCCAGTTAACACCCCAGTCACATGCAAGACCATGTTTGGAGACACCCATGGTGCAGACTTGACAAACCATCCCTCTGCAGGGATGATGCAGGTGAATCGAGCCACTTTTTTGCCTGTTGAGATCCATGGTGCAGCATCTATGTCAAAGGAGCATGGTTGGACATTGAAGGGTCACACTGCAATGCAGATCACTGGAAGGATAGACAGCTTCTGATGGGAGAGTTGCAAGAGCTATCATACATTCAGTATATATGCCTGTAATCAAATAGAGAGATCACTCACCATGAGACAGTCAAGCTCAAAATCATAGTTGTCCACTCTATATCCCTCACCAACCATCTGTTAGGGCAACACAGGCTGACTAAGTCTGCTCACCTAAGAGTGCCAAGAGTCTAAGCAGGCAACAAGGAAGTGGAGTAGACCTGATGACTAAGACCTATCTACAGTATAGGTACCTGTGGATGATCCTAAGAGACCAAGTCTGAAGAGACAGTGCCCAGGCAGAGTAGGCCTTATATTTATACCTCTGTGGTGGAACCTGCTAGAACATCTTGCTTACTCAGCCTAGTCAGGTGATCAGGTCATATGACCAAGGATGAGGTCATATGAGGTCATGCACAGCCATGCACAGCAGGTCACCTGACCATCCAATCCTTCCAGCAGGTTCCAGCACATGCCAAGGTATACCAGCTACTTCCATGTCATAAAGGCTTAGTCATGTCTCTTGACCAAGCAATGAGCTGGTGCCCTGACAATATCTTAACATGCTTGACAAGCCTGGTGTACCTCCACATACTCTGACATTCAAGATTGGTGCCATATGCATGCTTATGTGCAACTTTTCTGTAGCAAAGAGACTGGTGAAAAATGCTCATGTGGTATTGGAGTGACTCAATCAACACTTTGTTCAGGTACATGTCCTGACATCACAGGGCCACCTGGCTGGGGAGCTACACTGCATACCAAGAATCTGCTTTCAATTTCGTGCTTACTGAGCAAATTGGACAGTAATCCGTGTCCAACTTCCACTTCAACTGGTATATGCTACAACATTTCACAGCTGTCAAGGCCTCACTTTGGATAGGACTGTGCTTGATTGCTGCAGTGATGTCTTTGCACATGGTCGGCTGTACACTGCACTTACACATGTGTGCATGCATCTTGACACAAGAAGTTTGGTCTCAGACTCTTGGGAGGGTACCGTGGCAAATATCCAAAATTGTCAGCTACTGCTTCCCTGAATAACATGTCGAATACATTTTTTGCTTCCTTCTGTCCTTCGCAGGGGACCCGCAGGGTTCTCCCCTTGTATGGGGTATTGGGCACCTTGCCAGCCTCTATAGAGGAGTAGCGGGAGCTAGAATGATTAAAAGGCATCCTAGGGATGTCAATTGTAATGGACAGATCTACTTTACAGAGGTGTCGTCTGTGCGGATGCTTTTACTCGCACATTCGAAAGTAAACTATCGTGGAGGATTGCGTTATAATACCATGGCACTGGGACGAGTGATGATACGGTCCGTATACCAGAACGAGCACAGGCGTGTTCACGTAGGCTGATCAAAAGTCCACCATGGGGAATTCCACGTGGAATCGCCGGAAGCGGCAATGGCGTTTGCTGCGTCGTTGGTAGAGAACATTGACTGCCCCGCGGCACTTGACGTCGCAGCATTGTCCATAGGGAACGTCTCCTGGCTCGCTATGATCATTGATGTAAGCCATTCATTGAATGTTGGATCCATAAACCCATGTTGGCCATTGAGGTCGAGGTGGTTTAGCCAGCCATCCTCACCAAACATAGGCTGGTTCGTAGCAGTCGATGTGGGTCCTGCACTCCCAATGTTGGTGTCAAATAGGCTGCCAGTTTGCACAGCGGAAAACGGTGTGAAAAGATCCGGAGCGCCCATTGAAAATGTTGCGAACTCGCCCTGAAGGAAATTGTTAGTTGCACTGCGAATTGACCCCTCCCCTACGTACAAATTGATTCGAGTTGGTCGAGGCCCCCCCATTACCATTGATGTGGGAAACAATGGTGGTTGGGACGGTCGCACCAGGGTCGGTTATGGAAGAAGCATCTTCTGAAGAAGGCTTCTCGCTAGCGTCTTTATCACAAGGCCGGTGGCTGCTGTTGGACGACAGTTTGAGGCATATTGGCCTGTCTCCGAGTAATGGACAATTCCCGGTCACGACGTTCGTCATGATATCGGCGAAGTTCTTTAATACGTCATAGAGGAGGCCCGGGAATTGCCACCTGAAACGAACGTTAGTAAATGAATCCGTTGACCATGAAGCTCTCGTACCGATCTTCCACGGATTTCAACGCTTTCAGGCACAGGTTCACCTCATCGATCCCATCAAGACCTTTCTGCTCCCACATGTTCATGATCAGCACAGAGCCAGCGACGAATCCAGCCAAGCTGGCATCATTGACTCGACCCCGCAGCATGTTCTTGGCTCTTAACCCTTCCAGCGCAATGGCAATCTCGCGAGAGCTAGCGCCGGAAACGGCCAAAATGGGCACTTCGGGGTGAGCCATACGCTGACTTTTGGAAAAGAATGGTCGGTACAAAATAAGCTAAATTTGACGTCAACGTACATTATCCAGCCTCAGTAGAAACAGCGTACCTGTACCCAATGAAATTGGATATGAACAAGCGAACTGTAGAGAAGGCGTTCAGGATCAGCTTGATCTTTTTGATAAATCAAGTCCGTGTCAAGCTTCGCCTTCACGTTCTGGAGACGAATGTTGACACCGTATAGATAGGTCTCTTCACGGTGAGAAACGTTGCTATTGCAATGCCGGAGCATCTGCATTTCTCCTCGCTTGTGGCTCGCAATTTGAAGAAGATAGACACGGACATTGAAGGCCGCAATGCATTGCGAAAATCCGACAGGATCCTTTTGACCCTGTTGTAGGAGATCCAGGGCATCATCATCTAGTTCGAGCAGTGGCTCGATATCATAGCTTCATGGCCATCACAATGTGAGCCAAGCGTTAAGAATCGAAAGTGTTCACTTACTCATGCTCCGGCAAGCAGAAGCTTCGATCCATTTCTAATGCCATGGTCCTTTCCATCGCGTACAGGATCCAGAATACTCGCTTTCGCATTTCGTAGTCGAAAGGATGGGCTTTTGCCCTCTGCAACCATTCTTTCTTTAAGTGCATGCCCGCATCCTGAAGATATCGAAGGCCGAGACCAATCAAAGCCCATCCAACGGAGGGGCACAGTGGGTGCCCGCATAAATAGTTCGCGAACAAGATGATAGCTTGCAGGCGGAATAACGAGGGAGGCGCATACAAGGGCGAGCCTATGCGTCTGAAGCGGTATCAGAACCCTGAGAGCTGACAGATACAAATAACGCACCTCATCTCATTGAAATACTTCATGCCTGCATCAAAGTAGTGTCCATTTTCATCGGGTGGCCCTAGGGCCCTGGGGTCGTCCACCAACTTCGACGCAATGGCGAACACCCCGAAGACAACGCTGACCCAATTGTTGTCCAACCTCATCTTTGGATCTGCGTATTGGCGCAGGAAGGTCGGCTTGTGTAACAGCGGTAGGACACAGTTCCACTTCTCAAAGTACGTGTCGATGAGGAGCTTGGCTAGGTCGGGCTCAGGCCAGGTGGGCGGGTCGAGCCTCAGGTTCACCTCGTCGAAGATATTCGTATCCACCACTCTGCACTCTGGCCTTATACGCAGCTGGAAGAATTTGTTCTTGTCGATGCTCTTGCTCCCTATCTCCACCAACTGCTGGTTCACAACTTGGAAGTGACTGCCCTTCTCGTGGTACATGCGGGGCTCTTGCGATATGGGCGACCCGGCTGCGTTTCCAAGCATGAGATCCTCGTATTCTTGTGCTAATGGTTCCAATGCAGCTTGCGTCTCTGGGTCCTCTTCTTTTGCTTCTTGTTCTTTATCGAGAATTTCCCCCGAAACGGAAGATTCAGGCGACGACGTGGAATATGTCGGCCTGCTGCGTGCTCTGACTAGTTCACGTTTCAGGTACTCCACTCGGCGTTCCAGCTCCCCAACTCGGTGCTCCAGCCCATCCACATAGGCCTTGGACGGCGGCCACTTGTTTGGCTGATGGTTGTATGTACACTCATAGCCGTTCTTTCGACTAGGTGTACAGTTGTTAGAGACTGTCACCACGACTAAAACAAGTGAACCAGCGCACCAATATGAGCAGGGATGAGGGCCTTCTTCTTCTCCATTGCACTTGATCTTTCGCCTATGGCATGCCTGGTACAAAACGTTATGAGGAGGTCTAAATAGAGTACCATAGTGCGTACATCGCAGGCCTTTGATTGTTTCTGGTTGAGCCTAGTAGATGACGAAGGTGGCGGGATCGGCGCTTCGGAGGGCTCTGACACAGTGGTCGGGAATTGACGATAATTGTAGGTACGATCCATCGTGAGACTTGTATCGTGCCATACCTCCAGCTTTTGACGCTTAGGAGGAGGAGCAGGTAGAAGATTGCGATGTTGTCTAGACATGGACAAGCTGCTGCAGCGTTAGAATGCTGTGCTGAACCTCGCGTCCCTGACAAGCGTCGGCCCCGGATACTTCTTGGCATCACTCACCGCATATCGGGTCCCTATCGTCTGATCCCTGGCAAGGTGATACAAGGTCACCTGATCTAGTTTCGACCAGACTGTTCCTGCTAGAACTAGTCCAGGCAGTCATAATGAGCTGTACTCTCCTGTTCTAGCAATCAGTAAATATGACTTCTTCCTCATGCAAGCAAAGGTCAGCCAAGCAGTCCTGGAGTCCTTCCTGCCCAGTGCAGACATGGGGTTCTCTGATTTGGGCTCAGCCATGGAATTATGGAACTGGCAAAATTAATATATTCTCATCAAGGCAAATTCTAGTAAAGATGGGCTAACTCCTGCCTAGAAAAGAAAAAAAAAGCCGCATTGGGATGTTGAGTCCTCTCATAGAACAGCCCACTATATTCTCTCACATCCCTCCCTCACCATGTCCAGCCAAAGCAACCCATACAATGCCTCACCCACAGTCTTCTCTCAGATTGCCCAAAGGCTCCAAATGCTGCAGGAGCTGCTTGTAAGAACCCATGAACCATCTCAGCAGCAGGTAGTGCTTGGGATGATCATGGCAGCAAGAAGAGAGATGAGTCTGACCTCAGAGAGTTAATGGTGGGCATCTTCATTGGTTCACACAACAACATCACTCACTGAGCTCCTCATCCAGTTCCCTCCCATCCTTTGTACCCTCCACCTTGCTTTCCAAGCCTTCCTATCTAGCCTCCCCAATTCCAACCTTGCCTGACCTTCCCACCATCCTTCCTGATGGAGATGCAGCCAACAACAAGAAGTGCCCAGTTGACATCCAAGACCTAGAAGAATGAGTAGCCCTGCTTGAGGATCAGGGAGGTCATCGCAGTAAGAAGCAGAGAACACTCACCAAGGGACCAGAGGATGATGTACTTCTGAATGAGACTGGTGACCTTGTGATGTCCATGGATAAGAAGAAACTGCCAGCTGGGGACCTGAGAGTGAGCAGGTATCTTCAGGTCAGTAATGGGGTTTTAGGGTTGACCTAGGAAGTTACTTACCTTAACTAGCAGGAACTCCTGCATAAGGTGTATGAGCTGATAGGCTATACAAAGGGTGGTCAGTTGCCTGATATCAGTTGCCTGCATGAGGAGGATGGCGGAACTTACATGGTTCCACACTGGCTGGGAGGGGTGAATGCACCAGCAAATGCCAAGATATTTGCATGCACTGTACAGGAGGTTCTGCGCAAAGAGACAGTGAGCTTCATTCTCTGTCATTTCACACAACAACATCATTCACCTCTTCATAAGGGCATGGATGGTAGACTCAGTAATGATCCTGCTCTTCAAGCTCACTGGCTCCAACATGAGGTCCTCCTTGTCCTCGTTTGCAGGAGCTTTGCAGGCATTGTCAAAGCCTTCAAGAAACAGCAGAAGGCAAAAACAGATGGGGGTTGCCAGATGGATGTCAACAAGCAACAGCAACAAAGACAGGAACAAAGGAAGATGGTGCATAATTGGAATCTCTCTTTTGCATGAGGTTGACTTGGTTTGTAGCAGGCTGCCAAGTTCCGTGTTGGGCTTGCTGCCTTCTGTAGTGAACATGGCTTGGACATGGTGCAAGACCAGCTGTTGAATGAGTTTTGGCATGGCGAAGAGTGGAGTTGTGATGAGGATGGGGAGAACAGCCCCTTGTGGAGGGCACTTCTGTTCCAGACTGGTGAAATTACTGCGAAGGAGAGGGATGACCCTCAAATGTCAGTATGGGAAGAGTGGAGGCTGGTGTGGAAAAGTCAAGAAGTCAGTATGATGCTCATTCTGAAGGGAATGTGGACTCACATTGACATATATATCTTTGGGAGTGGGAGAAGAAGATCATTTCTGACAGGAGAATGGATAGTGGCAAGATTCCCAATGAGATCAAGCAGGTTGACCTTGGTTGGGTATCCCACCTCATGCCCACTGCAGCGTGTGTGTCATGTGACTTTATGCTGGATTTGGAATGGATGGAGAATGAGCTTCCCAAGTTTGGGAAGTGGATATGACACTCACATTTCCCCTCCCAGGTGCCAGAATACCTCTGCTGGCACTTAGTGGAGCTGCAACAATCTCCCCGGGATGACTCAGAGTCTGGAGAGGAATGATGTTGTTGTGTGGACTTGCTATGATGTTGTTGTGTGATCCAATGACAAGCCATATAGCAATCATCATTAGCTATCAATGCAGGGACATACAGATAGACCACTCACAATATTAATGATCTATAGCTACTTTGACATCATATATCTACATTAATTCTAGTCAAATATCATTGTTCTTCCTCCATGCTCATATTCTGCACATACCTCTCCATACATCAGAGGGTCTGCCCGTTCTGTACTGATGTCAGTGCCATCACTCATTCAGGTAAGTAGGTATGGACTTTACCTTACTCATACCCATTGTAATCCACATCTGGATACCCCACATGTCCATTGTACATTGAGCTGCTGTACCACAGATCTCACTGGCCAGAATCAGAGGTTGGAGCCCAAAGTTGTCCAGATCCCCTTGGTATCAGCCATGTTGCCAGAAGTCTACTTTGAGCTTGGGTCTGCAACATGTGTTAGGCATGCTTGATCTTAATGCACATCCCACTGACACTTCTTGATAAAGCATGGCATGGGGTGGCATCTCCTGGAGGGGTACAAGCCAAGCTATGACTGCAAAAATTTTTGGCTCAGCTATACCTCTCTGCAAATGGGAAAAGATGTCTCGCAGTTCTCCAACCCACTGCACTCCATGCTGTACTCAAAACAGCACCAGGGAGTCTGCTTTGCTTGACTTTTCTTTCTGGGCCATCACTATCCACTTGCCATTGATTTGAAGCTCTGTGAAGAAAGTGGCCTTGCTCATCAGGAAGTTTGCTGCAAAGGGGGCATCTTGGTTGCCAGGATGATACAGTCTGATGTCAGGGTGGTGTCGGGCATACCACCTCATCAGCTTGGACTGCTGAGGTTGGGTAAGGTGTGCCGGTCGTCCTGTTCCTCCTGCTATGCAGCATGCATAAGCTGGTAAGGCCAGATCACCTTCTGTGGCCATCACCGCCAGAGTGCCCAGTCAAGCAACATCTCTAGATTGTTCTTCCAGCTTCTTTGCCAACCAGCTGGCAAGGCAGTCCTGTTGTTGCTCAGCAAGGATAGAGTTCTGATCATCATCAGTGTCAAGTACTCTGCTGACCAACTACTCACAATTCTGGCCAGGCTCATCTCCTGCTTAAACTCCCATGCAAATGTGACCTTGACCACTCCCCCCTTATGGCTGTTATTCTTGAACATCTTAAGCACCTTGATGAGGCATTCGAAAAGGAATGTCCAAAAACCATGGACAGGTCCATACCATCAGACTTGGTCAGCCATGTGCATCACCCAATGGAAGGTTGGCATGATGTTTGTGTTGCTGTAGATCTATGGAACATGGCGTATATGAATGATTAGACAGTAGATGTTGTTGTTGTGTGGAACGATAAGCTCACCTCAGTGTATTCTTGAAAGAAGTCATTGTAGAGAGTCGATGCTCTAGTGAGCTCTTCTTCCCAAAGTTCCTTTTGCATGAATATCTTGAGGGCACATGCTAGCTTTAAGTAGTTGCTCACAGCCTGCAGAGGGGCTCGAGAGTCTGCCTTTAACAGCAGAGGGGGGATCTGGTCCAAGTGAATCATGGTCCATTTCTGTACTGATGGCTTACCACTGCCAGGCCATACAAGACAGCTAGAGCTCACCATTCATCTGAGGTTAGGCTTCCTCCAGCTGGATAGCCTACTTGGGAAGGCAATTGGGCAAACCACATTGGCATCTCAAAGGTGCTGAGGACAAGATGCAGAGCATCTAGCTCTCTCTTCTGGCCTCCTTTGGTCCTTTATGTTCTTCACTGATTGCTTGCCACCCCTGATCCAAGTAGAATACCAAAGCATCTTTGTGAGACCTAAGTTGGCATCAGTGTTATCCATGTCATCAATGAAACAATTGACCTTGGAGGAAGGTATGCATAGGATTGATTACCCCCATATGCACTGGATTGAAATATGGGAGGCAATTGAATTCAGACCAGTGCACTCCATACTTCTGGACATAAGCGTCCAATGTCTTCTTGTTGGCACCCAATTGCTGAAGCTGGTAGATACAAGCAGCTTGTCTCTTGTGGTGTACTCCGTCTCTCAATGGCACATTTCCTGTCTGCCAGCCATGCTTGAGCATGTCTGTGTGCTTGACATGGCACTGAGTGCATGGATGATCAGTGCTCCTCTGGTCAGTGAAACCTGCCATCTTGCAGAGTACAGGGTGATTGCAGATCAGGGTGAGGAGGGCCACATGAATCTTACATCCTGGGCAACATGAAGTCAGTACCTAGTCTGATGTTGTTGTGTGAATGGGTAGACACACCTCCTGGATGTCCTGGAGTATGAACCACAATTCCATCTCTCCACAGCACCAGGAGATCATCTACCAGCAGCTGCAGGAACCTCTGCAGCTGTTCAGCATTGGGTTCCTTGGGCCCAGGAAGGATTCCAAACAAGCACAGATTCTTGACACGAAACCTACTTGCAAGTCAGCACCAATGGGGAGTATAGAGACATATGCCCACTCACCGAAGCTCAGGCAGAAGGTTTGCAATACAGACTGAGAGGGGACTGCTTGAATGGGACTCCAATTCAGTGGACTGATTCAGATTAAACCAATCCATACTGATGAGTATGCCCAGTTGTAGTTCTCATTGGTTGGCTGCTTCTTGTAAAGTGCAAGGAAAGAAGTGTCAACCATCTGGTGTCATCATATTCTTCCATACACTTTCATCCTGGAGCCTACTATAAATACTGTCCTTGCTCTGCTGATCCAAGTAAGACTTGCAAGCTTGCTTGAAGCCAGGTTGTGCTAAGAACTCTGCTAGCTGGGCAGACAGGAGATTGTAAGGCACTTCTTGGCATGCTCAAGCATACCCAGACTTCAGAGCCAGCTCATACAGTGGCTCTGAGCATGCAGGACAGAGTTGTTGCCAGTCCAAACTGCTGTCCTTGTTGTCAAGCCCAAGTTCATCAACCAGCTCAGCATCCAGGTGCTCTTCATCAAACCCCTTGAATTCCCAGCAAAGGGGGCACAGTGTCCTGACTTTGAATCGATCCAGAAGTCGAAGCCTCTTGTAAATGGTCTTGAGAGAGCAGGGGGGGGGGCAGTTGACTGGGAAAAAGTCTCTGTGGGAGCCAAGAATCCAAAGTACTTGAATATGGCATAGACCACTGTAGCCAGGAAAGCGCAAGCTGCATGTGGTAACTGATAACAAGCATGCAGATGTAGAAGCACCAAGCAAAATGCTTGCACTCCAGCATGTGCATGAACAGCCAGAAATCCTTGAAGAGGCTCTTGTGCATCTTGAATCATTTCTTGTTGGGAAAGCACAACTAATAGAGGTATACAAAGGTCCTCGACAGAGATTCCAGGGTCAGGAGCCAAAGCATCAGGAATGGTCAGCTGTACTGAAGCTTGCTCCACCTCCATGGGTGTATGAGTGCATGGTGATGATGGGGAAGGAAGATCTTGGGAGGACTGGGACAGCCCTTGTAGAGGAGGAGGAGGCAGAGGGGGGGATATGATGGCCTTGTCCATCATGCAGACTGCAGTTGAATTTGATGTTGTTGTGTGAACTGAGATCAATGCAGGTGATACAATCACCTGCATTGACAAAGTCTGAGGCTGCAGGTTCACTTTTGATGCCAGATCTTTGGCTTGATGATCCTCACTGAGCATAGTTGGAGGTGTTCCAGGCATGGGGAACTCTGCTATGTCATCCATCCCCTCCACCTCCCCATCTCTTTGAGTCCACTGATCACCCAAGGAGCCCCAAGTGGCTTCCTCCAGCTGGTAGGTCGATGGTTGCATGGATGTTGTGGCAACAGCATTATTGGACATCTCTGCTTGGCTGGCTCAATAGGTGCTGGTGTGTTGATGTGTGTGCCAAGCATCCCACATCCATTTAATGCCACCTTCTCTTGCAGGTGTCTTGCAGGTTGAACAATGACACCAAACCTCCTTGTTCCTTCTTGACAGTATAGACTTGGCTTTTGTCTTTCTGGTGCCAGCCATAGTTCCAGTCAAATGTCACAGGAATAAGTACAAGGAGGAAGAGATGGACAGCTTGCATTGAGGACAAAGACCTCAATGCATTCATGTTTGCAAGGTCATTGTATCATGCTGTGAGCTCGCAGAGGGGGACGGGGAGGGCCTGGTAGCAGCATCTGACCTTGAGAGAACAGTGAGGGATGATGAAGGCAAGGAAACGTGCGGCCTAGACTAAGGTAGACTAGATGGTCTACTTCATATGGACCCACATTTTTATGAAAGAGTGCATCATAAGTTAGTTATGGCCATCTAAGCCAAAGTACAGGATGAGAAACTATGTCAGGTACTGGAGGTCATGTAAGGAGCACATATTCAACATGAGAGTCTTAAGAAATAGAGGGAAAGATGACAAAGGAAGGCTTTGTTGGTCTTCTGCATCATATGGCAGTAGATCTGGTGCAAGAGTGAGAAAGATGGAATGACTGGTGAATAAAATGGTTGATAGGGAGAAGAGGATAAATAATGGGGGAAGATGCAGTATCAGCTAGCTCCTGAGGATGGGTAATTAAGATGCCATGCAGAGACTGCGGGGGGGCAAGGGGGTATGGGTCTTCCTGACCTTGGCATGCTCCTTGCAGATTCATGCCTCGACCTCCTTCTCAGCTTCAATGTTGTCATACATGTACACAACCATGAACTTCTGCTTGGGGGGCTTGACTGGCACATAGCACAGAGGAGCCACCTCATACATGGGAAGGTTGGGGTCAGAGGGAGGGTCGGAGTCACTGAACACCTCATGTTCCAGGTTGGCAGAGGACAAAGAGCAGGTGGATGCATCCAGGGTTGCATAAGAGGGTGGAGGGGAGTGAGAAGATAGAGTAGTGGCCACTCCGAAAGTCAGCAAGTTGCCTTCAGGGTTGACAGCAGATGAGACAGATATGATGTTGTTGTGTGAACTGACAGATACCACAGAGCAGGTGGCTTCCAAGCTGGTAGCTGCAGTGGTGGCAGCTGTGTCTCCCTCCAGGCAAGAGACAGATATGATGTTGTTGTGTGAACCAACAGAAACAGCAATGTTCTTCTGACCACCCCAAGCCCCCCTGCCTGGCAGCTCAGGGCTGAGGTTTACTTGAAGATGGAGCAGTACCTGATATAACATGAGGGCAAATCAAATCAATACTTGAGGGATGGTGCATACCAATGCCGCTGGGATGGGTTGAGTTGCCCACAGTACCAAGGAACAGGTACCTTGGGTATTGACCCCTGATTGAGGCCATGATGACTTTGCAAAGAGCAGTACTAATCACCAAGCACAGTTAGCCTATATAATCCATTATTGGACTTGAAGTGGACTTGCAGAAGAGTGGAATGGATCAGTTCAGCAGACAGTTTGTGATAGAGTATTACAGCAAGATGGTTGTTGAGTGGAAACAGCAAGGTCTACCATGGGGGCAATGATCATGCCCCTGAGGTCTGTGGATGGTCAGGGACTGGTGCAATGACACCAAGTCCTGTGACCCATCATCTCTCAGCTGGTAACCCTCATTGAACTTGCAACTTTCTGTTTTGAATGCTGAACCTGCTAGTCTACAATTACTGGGTACCATCATCCTAATGACTATTGGAACCTGCAATCATGAACACAAATATTTCTGGCCATTGTGCTGGCACAAATCCGGCACAGAGTAACCCAGCCTTGTGGTGATGACTGCCCAGCACCTTGTGGCCAGTCCACACAACCACATCAAGTGTTCTGGAAGACGGTATTCCTCTTGAAGCATCACATATATTGCAATAACCCATGAGTCCATCAAGCCCCCCCCTAAACTCAGAAAGAAGCCCCATGCACACACAGCCCTAACCCCTATATATCCAGACTACATATACACCCAGACCCTTGCCCCTCTTCTTCCTTCCAAACCACAACCACAATGTTTGAGTTCGACCTCATTACTGAAGCTGAAGCCCCCAACTGGAGCATGATGACATTGCCCAATGATGCCCCTGCCTCGCCCACCAACATGAAGAAGATCCAGCTGGACTTCTCCTACAACCGCAAGACTGTTGTCACCCGCATGCCATTGACTGCTGGCCCTTCTAAGGCTGAAACGATCCGTGTCTTGTCAGAGGTCAACAAGAAGGCCCCTGCCAAGGAGGGGTTGAAGGGCAAGCTTACCTTGTTCAACTATGCAGTCCTCAGGAGAGCTCATGAGCTCATGGAGGAGTTTGGTCAGTAGGTGATGGTGGTGGCGCTTCACAGTGGTATGGTGGAGGATAATGGGGTTACTGGTGAAAAGATGGAAGAAGAGGTGAGTTAGGTGCCATCCAATGCATACAGCTAGCCAAAGCTAGCTGTGATGTTGTTGTGTGAACTGGCAGAACGCCAGCCCATATAATCTTACTGACGTGAATGCAGGAGTATGAACATTATGATGGGATTGTCCATGCTGAGCCTGCCCCTGATAATGGCAAGCAGAAGGTGGAGACTGTCACTCTGGGGTACAACCTTGCTCTCTGGCCATCCAAAGCCATCTTGGAGGAATGTCACCCCCAGATTGACCTTCCCACTGCCAGGCCCATCACATATGCGGATGAGCAGGAGCATGTTGAATTTGTGGCAAAGGCATACACCTGCAAGATGCTCACTGAGAAGAAGGTCCTGCAGAAGGTCATGGCTGAGGAGAAGTTGGGTGTCAATCAAGAAGCAGAGCTCAAGACTTTGTTCTGGAAAACAGTCAAGTCTGAGACTGTGAAAGCAAAGGCAGAGGAGTGCAGGGCTGAGAAGACAGGCCAGAGACATGGGGGGGGGTATGTCCTTCAAGGCTAAGATGCTGACAGATGCTGCACAGAAAGGTTGGGAGGGGGTGAAGCAGGGAGGTAAGGTGGTGACTGGGTGGGTGGGCAAGAATGGACCCATGATCATCAAGGTGGGCAAGGCCGCCGGCACCATCTGTAAGTTCTTTCCACTTACCAGACTCTACTTTACTGATTATCATTACAGATAATACAGTCCATACAGTGACGGGGGGGAATTTGCCCTCCATCCCCAACATGTAACCTGTCCATTATGCATCCTTGTGAGGCCAGACTCTTCTCCATGTGGTTTCTCCTTGATCCTCAGTAGTACTAGTGTAGACTTGTGTGGGCACTGTTAGCCCACACAACAACATCATATCGAGAATATTGAATGCCAGCTAGTTGTTGCCAGACATAGAATATTGCATGAAGAGGTTTTCAGATCTGGCCTGGACCAGAGCAGTAAAGTAACCATAAACCTAGGGTGGCATTTCCAATGTAGTCTACAATTTCCCAGAGGCAACAAGCTCTTTCCTTCTCACCTGGAATGTAATATAGACCAGATGAGCTGGTCAGATTCAGACTGGGTCATAAAAGATTTTATTAACCTCCTAGACTACCCTATTCTACCTTAGACAAGAACAACCCGTTACGCAGTGACTTTGACCGGCCATGACAAAATGTTGGACAGCTCAGTTTGAGACCTTGTGTATTTAGAGCTATAGTTATAGTCATGGCGAACAAACTCACCCCTTGCCAACCATACACCATTAGAAAAATAAAGGATGCCCTTCGATGTATACATTTACAATCCTATCCTGACACGTTGTTCCACACCGGTTGCATGTGAATCAAATCAGGCTCGTCGAGCTCTTAGCCGGTCTACTGGCATCACCGCTGACCTGCGGGTTGTCATAAAGACAGAAAGGATGCGAGCTACATGCTACATACATCACCTGTTTGTTGATCTCCTTGGGGAACTTTCGGCTCCAGAGTGGAATACCTTCCGTCTTACTCGGATCCTCTATGGAGATCAAGGGCTACCCACGCAAAATGGACATGTATCCTCGAGCTGAGAAGGCTGACGATACTTGATCAAAATCAATATCGTCAAATTGGCTGTATGGATAAGCCGCCGGGAGAGGGGCGCTCAAGAAGCCCATCTACCCCGGAAACAAGTATCGCGTTGAATGTGAAAGAAGACCATTCAAGGGGTCGGTTAGAACCGGAGCAGTGCGCGAGAAATAACAGAATATTAATGGTGTTGCAAACCGGACCTCGACGGTCCAGGTGTACAGGGAAATGCGGACCGCTCGCAGATACTTTGGCGCATGGTCCTCTTGGCTTGAAAATTTCCCAAGAGAATGATACCATGATTCAACCATCGTCGCGGCCTATCAAGGGCCCTATTTTCGGGACTATTCTTGGAGCGATGCATCGCCGGAGGCAGAGCGCCCGGCCGGAGAACCTACCGGCGTGCCCGCCCATCGCGGTCGCCCTATCTGGGACATCTAACTGGTGGATGACGGCGAACGTCTACCGACATCTCTATCCTGACCATCCCTGTCCTTCGCTTGTCTTTCCTTTATAGCTCTCATCCTTTCCGCCGTCATCCCCCAGGAACTTAGAGTCAATCCTCAGTCAATCCCCAGGATGGCTGATAGCGTTCTTGTCGCCGAGACCAAGATACCCTTGGAGCAGCTTGTCGCCAGCTCTAGTTCTATCAGTGCGGCGAACACCCCGCTGCTGACAATCCAAGGCCTGCGCCGCAAGAATGCAGGGCACGGAGGCCAATTGACCAAGATTCTGGTCGCGAACCGGGGGGTGCGTCACAAACGCTCCATATATGCTGCTGCATCCTGACTATATGCGCCTCTTCGCGTTGCACCATAGGAAATTGCTATTCGCATTTTCAGGACCGCCCATGAACTTGCAATGCACACCGTCGCCATCTACTCGTATGAGGATCGCTTGTCGGCTCATAGGCAGAAGGTGCGCTCTAGCCCAATTGGAAACGCACAATTGGTGGGCTGATCGCATTGACAGGCGGATGAAGCATACCGCGTTGGAAAGGGGTTGACCCCTGTGGGTGCCTACCTTGCTCAGGACGAGATCGTGCGCATTGCCCTCGAACATGGCGTTGACATGATTCACCCTGGGTACGTCTGTCCTCCATTCTCCTCCACCGGCGCCAACACGTTCTAGGTACGGATTCCTCGCCGAGAATGCCCAGTTTGCGAAGAAAGTTGAGGACGCGGGTATGGCTTTTATCGGCCCCTCGCCCGAGGCCATTGATGCCCTTGGGGACAAGACCAAGGCAAGGGACATTGCTCGGGCTGCTGGTGTGCAGATTGTCCCTGGCACCCCCGGTCCTGTTGCGAATTACAAGGATGGAGAAGCATTTGTCAAGCAGCACGGTTTCCCCGGTATGCCAATTTTGCTCCTCCGCCCAGTCAATGTGAATGCTCAAACACGTTGACAGTAATCATCAAAGCCGCTATGGGTGGCGGAGGCCGTGGCATGCGTGTCGTCCGTGCCTTGGAGGAATTCCAGGCCAACTTCGATCGTGCCGTTTCCGAAGCGAAATCCGCTTTCGGCGATGGTACAGTCTTCATCGAGCGCTTTATTGAGCGCCCGAGGCATATCGAAGTGCAGCTCCTGGCTGACAGCTATGGAAACGTGGTCCATCTGTTTGAGCGTGACTGCTCTGTTCAACGCCGTCATCAGAAAGTTGTTGAAGTCGCACCTGCAACGCACCTCCCTGAGGAGACTAGGCAAGCTCTTTTCACTGATGCTCTCAAGCTTGCCAATGCCGTCGGTTACCGCAACGCTGGTACCGCAGAGTTCTTGGTCGATCAGGAGGGTCGGCACTACTTTATCGAGATCAACCCTCGTATCCAGGTGGAGCACACTATCACTGAGGAGATCACGGGTCTCGACATTGTCGCTGCTCAGATCCAGATCGCTGCCGGCGCCTCTCTTGCCCAACTCGGTATCACCCAGGAGGCCATTACCAAGCGCGGCTTCGCCATGCAGTGTCGTATTACAACTGAAGACCCAGCCGCAAACTTCCAGCCCGACACTGGTAAGATTGAAGTGTACCGCAGCGCCGGTGGTAACGGCGTTCGCCTGGATGCCAGTAGTGGCTTCGCCGGGGCCCAAATCACCCCCCATTATGACAGCTTGCTGGTCAAGGTTTCAGTTCGTGGGACGACCTACGAAGTCGCTCGTCGTAAGATGCTGCGTGCGCTAGTTGAATTCCGCATTCGTGGCGTGAAGACCAACATCCCCTTCTTGTTCCGCCTTCTGACGCATGATGTCTTCATCAGCGGCAAGACTTGGACGACGTTCATCGACGACACACCCGAGCTTTTCAAGCTCGTCCAGAGTCAGAACCGTGCACAAAAGCTGCTCGCTTACCTTGGCGATATCGCCGTCAACGGCTCCTCGATCAAAGGCCAGCAGGGCGAACCCGGGCTCAAGGACGAAATTGTCCTCCCCATCTTGGAAAATCGGGATGACCCGAACGGGGTGCCAATTGACACCACCATGCCCTGTCAAACTGGCTGGAGGAATGTTCTCGTCGAGAAGGGCCCAGAGGGCTTTGCCAAGGCGGTTCGCGAGTACCCTGGTGTGCTGATCATGGACACCACTTGGCGTGATGCCCATCAGAGTTTGTTGGCCACCAGGCTCCGCACTATCGAGATGGCGAACATTGCCAAGATCACCAGTCATGCGCTCGCCAATGCCTTCTCACTGGAGTGTTGGGGTGGAGCAACTTTCGATGTTGCGATGCGTTTCTTGTATGAGGACCCTTGGGAGCGTCTGGTGAGCGCGCATCGGTACAACAAGTACACTAGGAGCATACTAATCGTCACAACCAGCGCACGCTCCGCAAGCTAGTGCCCAACATTCCTCTGCAAGCTCTCGTCCGTGGTGCCAACGGCGTTGGGTACACCAGCTACCCGTAGGTGATATCTACCTGTCCTCGGATATGCAGCTGAACTGTCTCAGGGACAATGCCATCTATGACTTTTCCAAGCGGGCTGTGGAGAACGGCTTAGACATTTTCCGCGTTTTCGACTCTCTCAACTACTTGGAGAACGTATGCAAAGTTTCTTGGTCTGCCCATGCCTTATCTAATTCTTCCACAGATGAAGCTTGGTATTGATGCCGCCAAGAAGGCTGGTGGTGTCTGCGAGGCTGTTGTTTGCTACAGTGGTGATGTTGCGAACCTTAGGAAGACGAAATACACGCTCCAATACTACCTTGACTTTGTTGACCAGCTAGTCAATGAGGGCATTCATATTCTCGGCATCAAGGACATGGCTGGTCTCCTCAAACCTGCTGCTGCTACATCGTATGTACTTGTCTTGCGCTCTCCATAAGCATACTCACCCTCGGATCAGGCTCGTCGGTGCCATCCGCAAGAAGTACCCTGACCTCGTCATTCATGTGCACTCCCACGACACCGCTGGTATTTCCGCTGCCAGTATGATTGCTGCGGCACATGCCGGCGCTGACATTGTCGATGTTGCTATTGATAGTAGGTTCTTCACTGGATGTTTTGGAGCACAGTCTAAGATGATTCACAGGCATGTCCGGTGTGACCTCGCAGCCGTCCATGGGTGCTGTCTGCATGGCCCTCGAGCAGACTCATCTGGGAACCGGTATCCGGTACTCTGACATCCAGGCGCTCAACCACTATTGGTCGCAGGTCCGGATGCTGTACAGCTGCTTCGAGGCGAACGTCCGGGCTTCTGATTCTTCCGTATTCGCGCACGAGATGCCTGGTGGGCAGTACACCAACTTGATGGTAGGTTTCACACTAAAAAATTGCGAACAAATAACTAAGTATGCTTATAGTTCCAAGCCGCCCAACTTGGCCTGGGAACGCAATGGACACGTGAGTTGAGGGGAATACCCAATGCTAGGAATGCACACTGATGATATATCGTAGAGATCAAGCAGAAGTACATTCAAGCTAACGACCTTTGCGGGGACATCATCAAGGTCACACCGTCATCGAAGGTCGTTGGAGACTTCGCCCAGTGGATGGTTTCCAACAATTTGTCCAAGCAAGATGTTATCGACAGAGCAGACACACTTGATTTCCCATCTTCCGTCATCGAGTTCTTCCAGGGCTACTTGGGTCAACCTGTCGGTGGATTCCCTGAACCTCTTCGTACCAGGATCATTCGCAACAAGCCGAGAATCGATGGTCGTCCTGGCACTTCATTGGCACCCATTGACTTCAGGATTCTGAGGCACGAACTGCGTGCCAAGTTTGGCAAGCATATCACCGATGTGGACGTGACGTCATATGTCATGTATCCCAAGGTTTTCGAAGAATACCAAGGCTTCGTAGAGAAGTATGGTGACCTTTCAGTCGTGCCCACTCGTTATTTCCTCGGCCGCGCGGATATTGGAGAAGAGATGCACATCTCGATCGAGAAGGGCAAGACTCTCATTATCAAGCTCCTTGCTATTGGCCCTGTCGACGAGACGAAGGGTACTCGCGATGTGTGGTTCGAGGTCAATGGTGAAGTCCGTGCCGTGCCGGTCGACGACAAGTCAGCTGCAATCGAAACCGTGACTCGGGAGAAGGCCAAGGCCGAGCCAGGCTCTGTGGGTGCGCCGATGTCTGGTGTGGTCGTCGAGGTCCGCGTCAAGGAGGGACAGGAGGTGAAGAAGGGCGATATTATTTGCGTCCAGAGCGCGATGAAGGTCAGTGATGTGATTTTTGACCGAGAGCACAATCTAATTTCTTTCGCAGATGGAGAGCACGGTTTCTGCCCCAGTGTCGGGTCGCATCAAGAGAGTGCTTGTCCAAGAAGGAGACAGTATCTCACAGGGCGACCTCATTACCGAAATCGTGCACTAAACCTCGGAGGATTTGTTGTTATTGTAGGGTTTGTCAAAGACAACGGCTTGCTTGTTTCGGTGCTTGTTATTCCCATTTCTCACCAGGAGGGTCCCTGCCATGGATGCGGTGACGCCGCCTTAATGACTGCGCCGAGACGAACTGGTGTAAAGCTGTACTGCAAATTATTGTGTCAGATTGAAAAAAAATGAATCATACATTTCGAAATATTTCGCGCATGTGGGGAATATCTTCCTCCCAAGTATTGCGAAGTGGGAGTCTGCACAACTCTGACTCATCAGAAGCTAAAATCGCGACGCGCGGTCCTCAGGCTTCTGCACAGCATCACCATCGTCAATAAGTCCCGCTCCATGCCAAAGGCGGCTTGCCCTCAACATGTTATTCCACCACAACGAGTCACCGTCGTTTCCTAGTCATTTGCGATCTCCCACGCCGGGCTGGAAACTGACGGTTCGCTGGATGCCTAACAATGGAGTCAAGAGTCTCATCGGCGAAATCCGTCCGCAGAACCAAAGCTTGTGATGTGAGTAGAGCCCTGAATTCCCTAGGAGACCCGTCATCTTATTAAACGCTAGGCTTGTCATCGGCGGAAGATACGTTGTGATGGGGAGGAAGGCAGCCCCCAACCATGCTCATATTGGTGAGCAAATCTCCATATCATTTGAGTGAGACAGCTCATTGTGTTCGACAGCGTGAAGAATAGCTATGAATGTCATTTCACCTTCCGCCCAAACAAATGGCCGCCATCGAAGACTTACGTCGACGGTCTAGAGAGACGAGTTGACTACCTAGAACGCCGAGTCGACACTCTCAAGCGGGAAGTTGAGCGCCTGAGGCAAGGCGGAGTGGGTACCTCTGGGTATGCCTCCTCTGAGTCCGATGAATTCGAATCTGTTTCCCCGCCAAATGACGACGAAGACGACCAAACGGCCGAACAGCTGCGGGAGATCACTGAGCGATACGAAGGCCTCTGGCTTCAACCTCCTACGGGTATGAAGGCTAGCCAAGAACCGCGAATGTACCATGGACGAGCCTCACACATCCATATTCTCGACCAACAGATTGCAGCACTCGGCCAGCAGAGCTTGGACAAGGTCAAGGCATTCCGCCTTCATATTCGCCCAGAGTTTCAATATCTTGATCCGGATTTATTCGATTCTCATGTCGACTTGAATTTAGCCCCTCCCTCGTGGCCTGAGCCGGACCTCGCTCAGATACTGATCAACGCGTTCTTCACCCGATATAATAACGTCTTCCCGCTACTGCACAAACCGACATTTATGAGACAATATGCAGACCCGGCTCTCAGACAAGATCGAGACTGGGTTGCAATTGCCTTCGGAGTGTTCGCGCTTGCATCAAAATATGTGGAAGATCCGAGGGTTCTGCCAGAGTCGGGAAGTTGGTATAGCGCTGGACAGAAGTTTTGGAAAGAAATGAGGTACGATTAGTATAAATCGTGTGAGATCACAATGTCTGATGCATCTGTTCACATAGGCGTGTCATGTCCCAACTGTATGCACCTCCGACCCTCTTCAGACTCCAAGCCATCGTCCTTTTTACATGGTACTTCAGCGGAACCTCCCTGTTCCCTTCGGCAGGGTGGGGAATCATGGCCCTTGCCATACGTTATGCTCAAGACGCTGGCATGCATCTCAAAAAGGAATGGACGAAGCGCGCGGCAGCACACCCATTTGAATACGAGATGCGGAAGAGGGTGTTTTGGGTGCTGTACTTGATGGAGAGGACCATCGGGCTTGAGATGGATAGAAGTTTCTGCTTGCAGGAAGACGAGTTCGTCTGTTTACACACGATGTGATACTTCATCGCTGACACAGTGTAGGCTTGATGTCGACCTTCCGCTCGAGCTGGACGATGCCGGCCTGGACCTGCTGCAGCAGGGTGAAATTGATCCCCCAGGATTCTCGTTAATAATAGCAACATTCAACGCTCGGATGCGTCTTCTGAGCTTCGGTAGTCGCAAGCGAACGGAGCTCCGAACTATCCGCCGTTTGACGAAGGAACAAGATGTCATTAAACGGGAACGGTACTGGCTGCAAAGCATCAGGAACAAGCTTGATCATTTCATTGCGAACATACCAGACAACCTGAAATATGATGAGAATGAGAAGGACGATGATGACTTCCTGTCTCGTGCGCTCTTGAAACTACAGTATCATCAGATTCAGGTGAGACCTACTGACCCAATGATCCCCAGCCCCAACTCACTCTCCGTAGTTCGCCATGTATCGACCTTTCCTGTCTCGTTCGAAAAGAGCGACACATCCCTCAGAACCAATACTCGACACTTGCTGCCAAATTTCCCGATCTGTGGCGCATACGCTTGATGTCATGCGTCGACGCAACCTCATGATGGGCCGGATCCACGAGACCGCTCTTGGAGGATTCGTGGCTGGCAATGTTTTGCTCATCAATATGTGGGAAAACAAGAATTACGATCATATGGATGATGTGGAGAAGTGTATCCAAGCGATCCAAGCCATTGAACACAGGTACGTTTCTATCCTTAAACAGCACTGACCTTTGAACTTGATCCTTCGCTTAGGTGGCAATGGCCAGGACGCGTTCATGATGTACTTTGCAATCTTCGCGAGATCATTCGGATCAGTATTGGAAATCTTGCCGAGCCCGGAAAGCAAGAGGAAATCATGCCCCCCGATTCCAATGTGTCCACAGTAACCGCAATCCAGTCGCAGAAGGTTCGCATATGCATCTTGATATTGCATGCTCAACTAACACGATTCCCAGAATGTGCTCTCGTCCATCGAGTCCAACGCGTCGCTGGCAGCCGTGCCCTTCTGCCCCCCTGCACCTACCGTTACGGATGATATCATATCCCCAACCCTGCAAGACTTCTTAACCCCTCCGCAAACATTGGATCAACTCATGTTTGACGATCAAATTATGTCAATATCTGATTGGGCTTATCCCACCGACGTTCAGACACCCGTGGATTCCGAGTTTGCGGATTGGCTCAACAGCATGATATTTTCTGTCCCGCTTCCAGGGTCAGACCCAAATACGTCGACAACTTTCTTCAACACTGAAGTAGGTGTCCACCCCTCATAGACTCAAATTATCTGTATTATGCATGCCTGCGTTGCTATCTCCGTCCCCCCTCTTTGTATGTATCGTTTGGCCGCCTGCCATTTGTATTACCAAGACCGCATGTACTTATTGTTGCACCATTCAATACGCGCCTGTCACATGTACCATCCCGCTGTATTCTGGCCGGTTGCTCCCGCTCACCGTTCTCCTGACACAAACTGTCTGGGTGTCGACCAAGTGCTCCTCGAGCTCTGTACAAATGGATCCCTGCCTGATCTACCTGATTTTCTTCTATTCCGGTCTTTGCAATGCGCATGTAGAACGGCCTGCCGATGTGGCGAGAAATGCCTTGACACCGACCCCCCTGTTGTGGGACTCCCCTCCTGATCCGGATTCCACTGGTCCTCTTATCTTTGATGCGGCAGCTCACTTGTTACACCATGATTCTAACGTGCACCATCGCAATGGTCTGTTTTGGAATTATGACAACGTGCTGGTCATGCTGACATGGTTAAAGGGCATACTGTGGTTCCTGTCACTGTGTCTGTAGGGACATTACTGTATCACGGGAGGAATGGTCTCCTCGCTCCGGCTCCTCCAACGGGTGCGGAGTGGCTCGCCTTCCACATCGATCACGCATTGGCCCTCTCAGCATTTCAAGGGCATCTGCACACATATTCAGCCGAACGCGATCTGCGACTACTCTACTTCGATGGAGTGTCTGCGGCCATTCTTCCAACGGGAACCCAAGACACTCAAGATATTATTATCTATGGGAACGTCTCCGAATTTCATCGCGAGCCATATGCTCGGCTGTCACAACTTTGTAAATGGGCGGAAGACTACGAGCTGGATGGCGTTTTGAGAATGGAGTACGACTTGTGGGTCCTCTGATACTGCTTTCTGTCCCATTCTCACTGCTCAGTGAACTCATGTATTGTAACTTTAGCGATGGCGGTATTAATTGGCTGTCAGAGGTGGACGTAGTCCCCTGTATGCTGGACCGACCACCTGGATGGAAAGGCACCGTACGCGATCCGATGATTATGGCATACGAGATCCTTGCGGCTGGTAACTGGGCCAATATGGTGGCACTGACTGGATTACGCGTCGACTACTCAAGGCTTGTGGTTTTGTATAACGAAAAGTACAAGAGCCTCGTCAACCTAAGACGCAATGCCTCGAGTCGACTGCAACACCGCTTGCTCAACATATCCATGGTCGACGTAAAGCTTTTCCGCGAGGAGCTGCAAAGTGTACTCCTTCGACCCTCCGAGGACACGGGAAGTGGGATTGACTGGCCAGCTTTGATGGGGCATGTGATTGCATCCCACGCCGATCGGCTGTCCTTCCTTCAGCACATTCTGCATGCGCTTGATCGTCACACAGATATGGGTCAGCGGGAGTACCACGATGTTCCGCGCCTTATTTCGGATGTTCGACAACAAATCATGACGATGCTTGCTCCGTGTATTTCACGAGCATCCTTCAGTGGGATGAATGGAACGAAACTCAATGACACCTGGTTTGAGGCGACAATGGAAAGATGCTCGACACGATATACGTCCCATCTTCCCGTAGATCGTCTTTCTTCCCAAGAGCTAGTCCTGAAAACGGCGGTGGAGGAAACGATGCACGAGATCTGTCGCACGTTGTTAATCGTCTGGAGAACAGCATATTCGGCCGAGGCCATCATACCGAGTTATGAGCAGGTTGCTTTAGTGGAAACGTGGATGGTAGAGATAGACCGCCTGATTATGCGGCTTGATTGGGTCGAGTGGCAGAGATGTGATCCACCATGTTCCCCTGATCATTATTGTTCCCTGCCTCAGTGGCCGCTTGATGGTATCAACGATGGAACCGAGGACGTATTTCCACACTGTATCTCCAGAATCCATTATCATCCGCTTACCGATATCCGATCTGTTTTCCCTTCCTCCGCTATTCACTAATTTCTGTGAGGTTAGAACGAGATATTTTGTTGTATCTAGACACACTCTTCTCTCTACGTCCCCGTGAGTGATGCACGCAATCTTCTGGGCTTACGAGTTTCCGAACAGTTGCTTCCGAAGTTAACGTTCACCATTACCAAGTCGCAACATGTGCTTACGTTGTCATATTAGAAATATGCATTCCATCCTCCTCGGCCTATTCTACTTTTTTTTCAGCCTCTTGCCATGAGCCCGGGATCCAAAAGCGCGATACTCCAATAACCGTCTTCGCGCAGACAACGCCTCCATGGGATGTGTCGCCGGATCCTGATGCTACCGGTCCTCTCATCTTTGACGCAGCAGCTCACCTGGTACATCACGATTCTAATGCATACCACCGCAATGGTTAGGCATGTGGTTATTGTGCAATATATTTTGTGCTGATGTGGACGAAGGGCACGTTGTGGTTCCTGTCACTGTCTCCGCTGGGACGCTGTTGTATTACGGCAAGAATGGCCTTCGTGACCAGGCTCCTCCAATGGGCGCTGAATGGCTCACATTTCACATCGATCACGCTTTGAGGTTCTCGGCGTTTCAGGGGCATTTGTACACATATGCCGCCGAACGCGACCTGCGATTACTCTACTTTGATGGGGTGTCTGCAGCCGTTCTTCCCACCGGAACGCAGGACACTCAGAATATTATTATATATGGAAACGTCTCCGCCTTTCATCCTAATGCATACACTCGGATATCGCAGCTCTGTCAATGGGCCGGGGACTATAATCTTGATGGATTCCTGAGAATAGAGTACGACTTGTGCGTTTTCCTATATGCCTTTACGTCTCATCCCATTCTTATTGCAGGGCAGTGAGGTCATGTACTGTAACTTTAGCGACGGCGGTCTCAAGCCACTGTCAGATGTTGACGTGATATCCTGTATACTGGATCCCCCTGATGAATGGAAAGGCAGCTTACGCGATCCGATGCTTATGGTGTACGAATTGTACGCGGCTGGCAATTGGGCTAATACGGTGGCACTGACTGGATTACACATCGACTACTCAAGACTCATTGTCTTGTTCAATGATAAGTACAAGAGTCTTGTCAAACTCAGACGCAATGCCTCGAGTCGACTCCAATACTGCTTGCTCAACATATCCATGGTCGACGTACAGCTTTTCCGCGAGGAGCTGCAAGATATACTCCTTCGACCCCCTGACGACACGGGGAGTGGGATAGACTGGCCAGCTTTGATGGGGCATGTGATTGCATCCCACGCCAATCGGCTGTCCTTCCTTCAACACATTCTGCATGCGCTCGATCGTCACACAGATATGGGTCAGCGGGAGTACCACGATGTTCCCCGCCTTATTTCGGATGTTCGACAACAAATCATGACGATGCTTGCTCCGTGTATTTCACGAGCATCCTTCAGTGGGATGAATGGAACGAGACTTAATGACACCTGGTTTGAGGCGACAATGGAAAGATGTTCGACGCGATATACGTTCCATCTTCCTTTGGATCGTTTTTCGTCACAAGAGCTTGTTCTGAAAACGGCGGTGGAGGAAACGATGCACGAGATCTGTCGCACTTTGTTAATCATCTGGAGAACAGCGTATCCCGCCGAGTTAATCACATCAAGCTATGAACAGATTGCCTTGACCGAATCATGGGCAGTAGAGATCGACCGTCTGATTGGGTGGCTTGATTGGGTCGAGTGGCAGCGCTGCGATCCTCCCTGTTCCCCTGACCATGTTTGCTCTTTTCTTCAGTGGCCGTATGATGGCATTCGCGACGGAACCGAGGACGTATTTACACGATGTATCTCCAGATTACACTACCATCCGCTCACCGATCTTTTGAGTTTCCCTGAGGCTCAGACATTTTTGTAGTGATAAATCTAGAGCTCCTTTATTGTTGATCACTTCGAGTTGTACCAACGTGACGAAGTGCATGGTATCTATTGTCTGCGTGCGCATGTGAGAAATCTTCCAGGATGCCCTGGCGCGTCGCGCAAAACGTCTCTAATGCCCTTTTCGTCCGGCGTCGTCCACAATGCCCTTCATTCCTTGCGCACGGAATGTATCTAATTACATTGTCTGTCTAGGGGGACCCGCTCCTGGCTCTTTCCTCACAGTTGCTGGACGACCACGGTGCATCTTTCGCTGAGGGGGATCAAGTGCGGTGTCCGGATCTAGCTCAGATAGCAAGACCATCGGGTATGGAACTTGGTAGGTTTCATGCAGCGTTGAGTTGAGGTAGCACTTGTCAAAGTACTTGCCGGGCGCTTGATTGAATTCATAGCAAGCGGCAATTGCATGTGCACATGGTATAAGGTACTGCTGGAAGAACCGGCACGAACACATTCCCCCCTTCAATTCTGGATCCAACATCACGTCGTACTTGTCTCCACCTGGTCCTTCGACAAGAGCTTGTAGATGAACCGATGGTGTCACTTTAAAAGTCCGGGCAGCAACACAATTGTCAGTGTAGACCTTGAGGTGCTTCGCCACGTAATCGGAATCGGTTGATGGCAGAGTGAGAGCATACGTCCGGCGCTTGTAATGGTGTGCCATCTGATGACACCATATGTAGTCGAGGAGTTTAAGCACCGGTAATTCATGAGTTTCACGGAAGACATTATTCATGACTTCCGCTGCATTTGATGTGAGTCGACCAAAGCGTGGCTCAATAAATGCATAGCTTGCCCATGCAGCTTGTTCAATGACTGCGAGATAAGGTGCTGCCCCGGGTTTGACGTTCTGATCATTGTGGACCGCGTCTAAGTGTTTGTTGAATTCCTTCTCAGTTGGCGCTTTGGCAAGGTTCCAGATGTGATCTTCAACTGGTTTGCCAAAGTGTCGGACTGCATTCGTAATGATGTGCTTGACGCAGAATGCTTGTTCAACGAGCAGAAGTTCATCCGAGATGGCTTTGAGCAAGCCCTTCTGCCGATCGGATATGATTGTGGTTGTTGGGCTATCGAGCCCGTTGAGAGATTCCTTGAGTGATTGGAGGAATGAGGACCACGTCCGGGTATCTTCTTGTCGTGCAATAGCCCACGCTAGGACAAGCAGCTTGTCTTCCACATCATGTGTAACCGCCATGAGAAGGACATATTCGTAAGATGTCTTCGTGAATGCACCATCCACTGCGAGAAAGTGACGGACAGAACAGCATGCACTCTTTGATAGATGTAGCTAGTTAGCGATGCGTCCGCACTACCCACATGCCTATAGGGACTGCTGACTAAGCGGAGGCAAACGGAAGCATTCCGGGTGCACAGATGATGCAGTTAGAAGTACATCCAATCTTCATCTCTTGCATCCACTCAAAATACGCCCTGTCTGTGCTATCCAACCTGGATGACGCCAACTAGTGTCAACAACTGTTATCATAGGTCCTCACAATAGGAGAAGACGGTGGATTCCCCTTCATGGTCAAGACTGGTTGATTTCCTTATTTGGTCGAGGGTAGGGTTCGTTAACCCCAACCCATCCTCGGCATAACCCGAGTCCTTGTCAGTGGTCAGACCCTAGCTCCTCGCTGTAGCACAGTGAACACCCTGCTATCTACACCTTATCACTCTTTGCAGCAGCCGAGCATATGAACAAGGACGTGAAGGCATGCTTTGAGTCGAGTGAAATCTTGATCGTTGCTCCGGGGTCGCAAGCTGCAAGACGCGCTGCATAAGCTGGGAGGGTTTGGAATTCCTTCAGCTGATTCTCAACGTGATTGCCAATAATCTGCCGCTTTGCTCGATAGGCTTGCTGAGGCTTAACACTGATGTTATGCCATCGAAGGGTGTCCATCACGGTTGACATCTTGACTCAGCCATCAACAGGCATGATCTTCTTCAACTCGGCAACAAGGAACTGAGTTCGACTTGTAGCTGCACGAGGCTTGATAGCATGTGTCTGACAAGTATGATTGGCTTCAAGATTGCGTACACGGAAGACCCCGTCTTTGCCCCCAACCGACGCATAGAATCCACAGCTCTCCACCCTGCACTTCACAATCAGCCGACTCTTATCTCTCTTGCTAACGCGGTAGGTTGCTGCCTGGCTGTTAGAGAAGCCTGTGAGAGCATTTCGAGCATCATCAAGCGAGGCAAATTCTTGCCCAATGAAGATAGTGTTGGCCATGGCAAATGAAGTGTGTACGTGTCCTCTGTTGACGCGCGATGACGCATCCGTCACTGAGGGCATGGTAGATGACACCGGACATAAAGGGCAATATAGACATCTGCACGACGCGCGAGGGCATCCTGGAAGATTTCTCTGCGCATGTCGATGTCCTGGAGCCGGCCGTTTCACTCCGCGCGTTCCTCCAACGACCATGTGCGCAAAGACGTTCGCCAGTCTGCCTAATCAATTCTCGACATCGTGCTTCACGTGCCTCTGTTCCTCATAAATGTTCTAGATGTCTCATATTCTGCGGGCTCAGGGGCTGAAATCTACACAGCAGTTCTTAGAGGACTCTGCTGGCAACCTTTAGGCAACTTTGCCCGATGGTGTCGACCAATTGGGGGCATTTCCGACGACTTGAATGCTGATGAACAATTTCAATCGGGTCGGATGGCTAGCTTGGCTTCTACAGACGGTCCGAGGACACTCGTCCGCTGAGGAAATGTGTTTCCTTCAGGTTGACATCTCCTTAAGGATGTAATACCGGCATGGAAGGCGAGATTTTCCCGTCTGGTATTGCAGCTCTTGCTTGATTCTTCCTGCTTGGGGTATAAGTACTCTCTTCGAAAGTATATGCTCTCAACTGTATGCACAAGACAAGATGAGGCTCTCTGCTTTGCTCTCCATGTGCGCGGCGCTTGTGGTCAACGCTTCTCCAATCCCCAACTTTGTATACACTGTCGGTCAGAAGTTCTTCCTGAACGGACGTCAGTAACTCCCGTATGGCCTTGAATGACCTTGACCAAACTCTGCAGATGAGTACACCTTCGCCGGGACGAATGCGTACTGGCTCGCCCAGATGAGCAACTCAGACATCGACCAAGCCTTCTCCGACATCGCCGCTTCGGGAGTAACGACCGTCCGTACCTGGGGATTCAACGATGTGACCTCTGTCCCGAGCTACGGGACGTACTACCAACTGTGGACAAACGGCACCGCAGCGATCAACTACGGCTCTAACGGGCTGGCTAAATTCGACTATGTTGTCCAGTCCGCGGCGGCGCATGGGCTGCACTTGGTCGTCACACTCACGAACAACTGGAGCGATTATGGCGGGATGGACGTGTACGTGAGTGAGCTGGCTCCCAACGCGGGGGGATACCGTAAGTTTCTCACTTGCCTATCTACGCATATTCACTCACAGTCGGAGGCAGACGACCTCTTCTACACCGATCCAACCATCATCGAAGCGTACAAAACGTACGTCTCGGCCTGGCTCACCCGGTACACAGCGAACCCCACCATCCTCTCCTGGGAACTGGCAAACGAGCCCCGGTGCGCTGGGACCTCCTCCCCCGCCTCCTCAGCCTGCGACACCACGACGATCACTACCTGGGTAAGCACCCTCAGCGCATATATCAAGAGTGTCGACCCGTACCACCTAGTCGCTATCGGGGACGAAGGGTGGTTCCAGCGCCCGGGGGCACAGCCGTACCCGTATGATCCGAGCGTGGGGATCTCGTTCGATGATAATATCATGGTGCCTACGCTGGACTGGGGGACGCTGCATTTGTACCCCGAGTACTGGGGTCAGGCGGATAACGTTACCGAGTGAGTCCCTCCTTCACCCTCTCATTCTTATTACGCGCATCTCCCTGCGTCCTTCATCCTGCCTCTCCCTCGTCCTAGAATACAGCTCATGCAGAGACAGATTCGGCATCGCCTGGATCCGGGACCACGCCACCGTCCAGAAACTCGCCAACAAGCCCGTAGTAATCGAAGAGTTCGGAGTGACGATCGCGAACCAGTCACTCGTCTATCCTCAGTGGTGGGACGAAGTCCTCAGTTCGGGACTGGCGGGGGACGCGATCTGGCAGTCGGGGAGCTACTTGAGTGGCGGACCGAGCCCGAACGATGGGTTTACTTATTATCCTAATTCGACGGTGTATGCGCTTGTGAGGGAGTATGCGGGGTTGTTGAAGGCGCGGGGATAGGGAGGGATCAGAGACTAAGAGGGTCAGAATAGCTTTGTAGCTATGTAACGATACGAGCGAAGCACACTCCCAAACCCAGGTATCCCATGATCTGAAGCAGAGAGTGAATAGGGCTCGATTACCATTCCTAGCTGCGTACAGCATCTACCAAGTAAGTGAAGTTCTCCAACCCCAGCCCTGCCAAGAAGGCGAGGGTGTGCTTTCAGTCCATTCCCAAGTCTCACCCCCTTCGCTTGCTCCCCGCCCGGGAGGGGGCTGGGGGCTAGAGCGTCAACCCACCCCACCAAGCCCTCGTAAGATCTTGCATCTCCACCCACATCAGGGGCAAGAACACCACACAAGCGACCCACAACAACCTGAACATTTCCCACACCCTGCCCACGCTCGCAAGCGTCAGATGGGCATGTCCCGATGTGTACAGCGGCGTATCCCCCGACTCGGATATAGGCGATGCGGGCCGAGTGAGCACACGCCAGACGGCGTATAGTGCCACGGCGAAAAAGTGGTAAAACAGCAGTGCGGGGCGCGGTTCGAGCCCTGAGAGAAGGCCTACCGGGCCCCGGATGCACTCGCCCCCTAGGAGGAAATAGTCGAAACATGCTTGACGGAGCGTTGCGAGCTCGGGGGAGGAGGCGCCGAACAAGTCGTACAGCGCTAGAGAGAGGATGTTGATCGTGCTCGCTAGAGGCTTGCGTTGGAGGTGGAAACGGTGCAGGGCGCGGGCGACGCTGGCCCAGTCTGAGGGGAAGCAGGGAGCGAGCAGCTTCCCAAGGAGCAGCGTGTCGGAGAAAGCGACTGTCATGCCTCCTCCTGTTAGCGGGTGGCGCATGTTGAACGCGTCGCCGACGAGGAGGACGCCTTGCTTGTGCTGCTGCGTTGCTTGCAATGAGGGGGGAAGATAGGAGTTGGGCATGCTCCGCAGACGCTGGGTCTGTAATGCGGATTCTAGCGGTGCTTGGCACGCTTGTGGCAGGTGAGGGAGTACATGTGTCCGGATATGCGCTTGGAGTGCTCCGGTAGAAGAGGAAGGCAGCTTCCCACGCACGTCGATCAGGATCCTCGTATCGCCCGGTGCGAGGCCGTACATGAGCACCGGCCCCTGTCCGGGGATGAGCACGACCGTCCCGTGTTCTTCTACCGGAAGGCGGGCGCCGTGTAGCACCAGACCGACAAAATGGCTCCTTGTGATCGGGGCAGGGGAGCGGAGGAGGATGTGCCGGAACTTGGAGGCATGTCCGTCGGCTACTATGACGAGGTCTGCTGGGAATGGAGTGGGATCACCGTTTTTCGGCGTGGCGGTTACGCCTATTACACGCCCGGTTTGCGGGTCCTCGAGCAGGGAGTGCACGGTCGCTTCTTGCAGGGTTACCCCCGGGGTGGTGGCCACTTCCCGCCTGAGAGCAGCGACGAACGCACCGTGGTGGAATGACCTGCCCTGTTCGCCTTCTGGGTAGGGAACGCTGACCTGGGCATCTTGGGCCGTGTTGACTATACAGTACCCTTTTGCGGGGACAGCGTGTATCCCTTCGAGTGCACCTTGCAGTCCTAGTGCACGGAGAGCGTTTACCCCCCCAGGCTGGAGGAGTTCGCCTACGATACGATCTGGGCCTTGGGGAGCGAGATCGCGTTCTAGGATGAGGATCGAACGGGGATTTTGTGAGAAATGTTGTATTGATCTTGCGAGAGTGAGACCTGCTGGACCTCCGCCGATTATGAGAATGTCGGTGTGCTGCAAGGGGATTAGTGGGGGTTCAAGAGGGCGGGGGGTACTTACTAGTTGGGTAGGTGCAGGGGAGGCCATGGTCGTTCAGAGGAGGAAGAGAGGAATGAGTTGAGGTAGATAAAGGACCAGAGAACGTGACGGTACAGAAATTGAAGTTAGGCACCCGACCGCACGGGAAAGGGTTCAATGATGAGAACGTGATTATGCGGAGCGGAATAGAGCGGATTGGGGAATTATTCTGTAGGGGACAGAACAGCGGGTCCGGAGGAGCAGATTAGTGGCTGTGTAGAAGTATATGCGGAACCGAACTAGAGCCACAACCTCGTGCAAGAGTCATCCCCGAGTCGTATGGACGGCATTGGTACACTACAATACCCAATCGCTATGAATGTACCACCCCCTCCTCTCCCTATTCAGCCATTACCAGAAGGTTGGACAGAACATATATGTAAGCCATATCACTCATTATATATCTACTATCTCACAACACAAGCACCCATCGGGCTAGCATACTATTACCACGCACCATCACGCACTTCCATATGGCTACGTCCTACTCTCGAGACTCCCCTCCTCATTCCCACAGATGCAGAAGGAGATGAACATCCGATTGCTCGAAAGATCATGTCCGGTACGGGGTGGGCAAAGATAAAGACAAATAGGGGGAACGTATTCTGGAGAAATGCACAGAGGGGGGTGAGCGTGTGGGAGATACCGGAGGAGTTGGAAAGGACGAGGAAGAGGGCGCTGGAGGAGGAGGGGGAAGAAGGGAGTAACAAGAGGATGAAAGTACAGGAAGAGGAGGAGGATGGGGAAGAGGAAGAGGGAGAGGAAGACGGGAGAAAGGAAGAGCAAGAAGCGCGGGAAGCTGCCACCCGCTGGGCGCAGGAAGAACAAGCGCGTCAAGAAGCCGCTGCTGCTGCTGAACTCGAAGCTGCAGAAGAAGAGAAAGCAGCCGCTGCCGCAGCCGCTGCCAAACCCGCGATCCCCAACCTCACCCCTGACGAAGCGCGCGCAGTTTTCCTCTCCATGCTCCGGGAGCTCAACATCTCCCCTCTCTTGCCATACGAAGACGCGCTCCCCCTTCTCGTCAAAGACTCTCGGTACTCCCTCCTCCCCTCCGCCTCCGAACGACTGGAGGTGTTCAACTCATTCTGTCGGACAGCCGCTTCCTCCCGCCCCGCGTCAGTCAAGCTCAGCGCGGAGGAAGAGTTCGCCAAGCTCTTACGTAAGGAAGTGACGAGCACCAGGACGAGCTGGACCGAGTGGCGCAGGAAATGGAGGAAGGATAGGAGGTTTTGGGGCTGGGCGGGGGACAGGGAGAGGGAGGGGAGGTTTAGGGCTTGGCTGAAGGAGTTGGGGGAGAGGAAGCGCCTGGAGGCGGAGAGGGCGAGCAGGGAGTTTGGGGAGATGCTCGCCGAGCAGGGGGTGGAGGGGCCTTGGTCCGAGGTGAGTGAGACTGGCTTGGGAGAGGAAGGGTGCTGACGCGCGTGTGTGTAGGTTAAGAGGCGTTTTGCGGGGGATAGGAGGTACGACGATGTTGGGTCTTCTTCGCTCAGGGAAGAACTGTACAACGCCTACCTCTCTTCCCGTGCTTCAACTTCCACATCTGCGCCCACTGCGGGCGCTTCCGCCTCTGCTCCTGCGCCCAGCACCAAATCGGAAAAGCACGAGTCTAAACTAGAAAGACAACAGCGTGCGCTCCGGGAACGGGAGGCCCAAGTCCGCCAAGAGCTGCAACGCGCATCGCACCAAGCGGGCGAGAGTCGCGCTCTCCTAGGAGCAGGCGAGTCAGAGCGGGAATTCGCTTCTCTCCTCCTGGACGCCGTGCGCGAGTTGGACGTCAGCTGGGCTCAGGCGCTCCCTGCTCTGCGCTCCGACCCGAGGTTTAGAGGGCTGAGCGAGGGGAGGAAACAGCAGATGTTTGCCGAGCATAGGGACCAACTCCGTCTTCGCCAGATCGGGGCTCTGCGTACGCTCTTCCTCGCCCATGCGCCGGAGCTCGACACGCCCTTCTCCGCATTGCCCGTATCGCTCATCACCAGTCTCCCTGCTTCCAAGCTCGGGCTCAACCCGCGCACCCTGGCAAAAGAGTTCGATACCTGGTGCGAGGAGAAACTGGCTACCGCTAGGAAGGAATTTGATGACATGCTCCGGGAGAACTCGTTTGTCCAGTTCTGGGGTCAAGCGAAGAAGCTCGGCCAAGCCTCGGCAGCAGAAGCAGAACAACAAGGCGTACAGCTCGAAGAGACAGCAGCGTACGGTGACGAAGAGGAGTTCGTGAGCGAGGAAGCGGACGGGGCTGGTGGGCTGGGCAAGCGGGCTGCGGAGGTGGGGCTGGAACAGGTCGAGAGGGTCTTACGTGGGGATAGGAGGTGGAGGGCTTGGGATTGGAAGAGGGAGGAGAGGGACAGGTGGTTGAGGGAGTGGATGGAGGGGATGAAGGCGCCGGCGTTGAGTGTGCATACGGCGTAGGGTTGTTGTAATGGCATGTGATGCGTAATTGGGAGATGGGCGAGTGTGTATGGAGTTGTAGCTTGCCGGCGGGGATGTTAGCTAATCCCGCATTATCATTGAACTGTTTTTCATTCTGAAGATGATTGAGGCAGTGTACATATGTGACGTGTGAGTATGAAGTGCGGTCTAAGTTGATTTGCAAGTATCTGGACTATGCGGTGGAAGGAAACATCTCTCAGTCTAGGCTGCTCGAGACCCGACGCCATCACCTTTTCTCGCCCGAGGCGCTCGAACTCACCGACGACTGACTCCCGTGATACAGGGGCAACGGGCCCCATTTTTCAGGACAACAATACCCATATGCGCTTGGTACCCATTTCTCCCCAGAACGCTCCTCGTCCACCAGCGTCGTACGTTTCTCGTCCCATTCCGTATGCGCATGGCCCGAGATAGGCTCGCTCGACCGGATCGGGCTTGCGTAAGGCACCGCTTCGGGCCCGAGGTGGTAGAGCGTCGAGTGGGAATTGGCGGCGTGGACGTCGATCTCTGCCATCGAGGAAGGGGCGGGTGTGGGCATGGGGGGAAACCAGGGAGCGGGTGAGGGAGGGGGTGGGGAGAAGACGCCCCCCCGGGCCGATGTAAGGGAGACTCGGTACTGGGATTGCCGATTTCGCCGTCGGCAGAGAAGGATGACTGTGGCTATGAGTGCGAGAAGACAGATGCACCCGCCGACGGCGCCGCCTATGATCGCTCCTAATCGCGCTCCACTCATACTAGAGCTGGCGGCGGTGTCAACAGCACTGCTGGGCGCTGCTTGGGATGAAGAGGTTGATGAAGCAGAGGAAGGTCGAGAGGTAGATTGTTGGCTCGAACCTGTATTCGATGGAACTACAAGCCCAGGGCCGGTGTTCATCGTTCCTGATGTCGTGCGTGAAGACGTACCTCTTGTTGGAGTGGAAGCGATTATCGTCTGGGTCGTCACCCAGGATGTAGAGTACCCACCGCCACCGGCTGCGTTTACGATCGCTCCGATAGCAGTTCCGCTCACGAAAACAGGGACGGTCGAGGTCCCATCAGTATCCGGAAGACCTGAGTGATCTTAGATACATTTTTCAAAGGGACAAGGAACGCGAGTCTCACCGTCTAATCCAATCTGATCGGCAAGCATAAGGTCAAAGTCCTGCGTGGACTGGATCATAGCGTATGAAGGTATAAGAACTCCTGAAGGAAGGATAGGATATCCAGTCCGTCCGATGACCGGTGTTACAGTGTCGCACTCCTGAATATACTGGGCCCAAGTGGAGCTCCTGTGACCTTTGAAAAAGTCATCAGATCTTGACAAATACATGGTTCCATCCGGACGTACCAGCGCAGGAATAACAGGCCGATAAAAGATAGTATTGTACAGTTGAACAGTAACAAGGAATGTCCAGATTGCCGGAACCTGGAATTATGAACATCAGCCCGCCAGTGCCATCGGGGGTGATAGCAAAATCTGCTTTGGGGTTAGATCCTGCATGGCGATGAATCACGACGCTCTCACCTCCGGAAAAACACTGAAAAGGAACAAGAATCAGCCTCAGGGTATAAGTTTCCTTATTTACGATAACTCACTTGCCCCATCAGCTCCGCAAATACTAAACACGGCGACTGCCCCAGAGCATTACTCAACCACGTATTCTGCATAACAGTGACGTTATTCTGTAGCAATAATTGAGTGCGTGTACAAAGCGAGCAATGCCAGCGGTGCACTTACAACAATCGCCCCGAGTACTTTAGGAATCCCCAGATAAGTGAAATACAAAAGAACCAAACCAACCATTGAGGGAGTTCAGAGAAAACGGACGGCGAAGACAGTCCCGCAACAACTCGGATACCAGCCATAAATCCACAACTGGCCTTAGCACTGGACGTCGATAACAACGATGTGTGCTGGGCCCTATCAAGGCCACAAATGGTAGAGGCTGTGAAGAAGCACGCCGCGCACAGCCTTCTCCCATTCAGTGGCCTCACAAGCGTTGTTATGAAGGCGATGAGGATGTAACCGCACTCTTTGTTCTTGCGTGACAACAATCAATTCGGCCGCCGCCGCACGGGTGTTATTGGACGGAAGCACTTTGGCGGCGTAAATGAACATTCATATCGATGGCCTTGAGGGAAGTCGCCGTAGATCTCTGCGTTGCCGCAATAATGGACAGTCCCTGAATGATTGACCATAGAGCCAGCACAACGGTAACGACTTGTAGATCTCCCATTCTTTCCATCTTCATGTCATCATGGGAAATTACTACCCATCAATACTGGCTAACCAACGCCACTCATGGGGTTCTATGTGGGCTCATTCGTCCACATAGCGCAAAAGAATTGCATTGTAGTGCTGAAGCCATGCTGATACATCGAGAGTACATTGAAATGTTAACGTACAAAAGGAGGTGCAAGGACTCCTTGTTACTCACAGATACTATAATCCTTGGATAGATACATCTTCGTATTGCTCAGACGCGTGGTGCTGAAGTGTTCGGCAAGAGAGAGGGCAAGGGTTTTGGTTGTCGTCCGAATGCTAGCACTGTTTTCTCTCGAATACGGTCCTCATGTCGGCAGCGCGCTTCAGGATTTACTGGAGAAGGCAATACGGTCTGGGTCGATAATACCATTGTACCGCTTCGGCTCAGATCCGCGTATTCTGGGGGCGGCGTGCGGCCTCGTGCATGGCCAACTGAAGGCGTCACAGAAGATGTGGAGTCGGTCAGAGATATCGGATGTGGAGATATAGGGGAGTCGTCTGAAGCCCGTCGACCAGGGAGCCACACCAGCGGAAGCAATGGGGCAGGCTTGTCATTCAACTCGAAGTGGTCTCTGGATCTTCGCCTCTTCCTCCAGAGCAGGCACACCAGACAGATGGAGACTAGGACGAGAATGATACCACCCACTACCCCGCCTATCACAGGTGCAATGGGGAAGGATTCACTGACACTAGCACCATGACTGTCAGAAGGTGTGGAGAAAGTATTGGTTGGTTCGGCAAGATGTCTCGAAACAGTAGGGAGCTGATTTTGCAGTGGCGTGGAAGTAGTGGATGCATAAACAGTCACAGTGCCACTACTATGGTAGGCGCCGCCTGCAGCTGAGGTTGGCAGGGCGGGCAAGAACGAAGGAGCCGATTGTTGGCTGAATATGCTTGGTTCTAACGTATTGGTCGTCAGTTCGATCTCGAGTGTTGTTACCGGTCCGGTGTCCGGAAACCCTGGAAGTGAATCAGGTGTGGATAACAAGTATGGGCAGAAAGAATCGGACCCAAACTTGCGATAGCGTCAGCCGTGGATACTGAGAAGTCGCCTGTGGATTCCACCATGGCCCAGGCAGGAATGCTGATATTATGCGGAAGGGTACCGGGGAAGTACCCAACAGCAATCGACGTTCCGGTCGCACTGCACTGTCCTATCCAGTCACTCCACGTCATCTGAGGCAGGCCTGAACGGACCGGTGTTAGCGATGAATCCTACCCCATGGCAATCGACGCATACCTTGGCAAGAGGAACACGCCGTGAAAAGGTAATATGACACTGTGGAACACCAACACTGAAGCGTGTTGGAGCTGCTTGAGGACTCCAGGGCAGTAGGCGTAGCCAAGACCTGTGTGGTGAACGCACCTACCGGAGCTATAAATGACAGTGAGCACCATGTTGGGCAATAAATCAGGATATCCATACAGAATCCCGAACACTGAGGCTTCCACAAATATCAGAACTGCTGTTCAAAATCGAGAAAAATGGGACCCACAGCTCCCATCAAGTCCGAAAAGATTTGACAAGGGCTATCTCCCTTATCATTATTAAGAAGGGTGGGTATCACGGAGCAAGGAGGCTGCGCAGTCGAAATGAGAACTGGGTTTATAAACGATGAATTGTTCACTTACATCTTGGCCGCGAACAAGTCGCAGTGTACTGAGGAGCACACTTAGGTATATGACACCGGCCATCAAGGCAACCCAAGGGAAGAGAAAGCAAATTTGTCAAAGATCGACCAAATATTTCCAGACATCCGGTTCTATATAAATGACAGGCGACTGGCTGAGCAGAGCACGAGCATCAATTAACGGGGCAACTGCGTTGCTTTGACTTGTGCGTAGCACAGCCTCTGAGCATGTCTTCGGCGACCGACCGCGCAGGGTGCTACTCGGTGTGGAGGGAGCAGGGCGTAATCAAACGGGTTGCATCAAGGGCCGGTGACGAGCAAGGATACAGCGCCGGTGAGCATGTTCGGATATGCAGGCGTTGCTCTGAACGAAGGGACAGTGATAAGGATGCGGATGGAGCAAGGGCAGAGAACGAGACAAGTAGCAAGTCTATTCCGCACTCAGACTCAGCTGCTGTTTGACAGGTGTCCATCATTCAAGAGTTTGCCTTCAAACATCGTGATATCCGTACTAGCGTCTGTGTCGGAGCATTTGCCGACGCCTTTGGCTCGGTGATCAGCAGGATGTGCGGAAGCAGATTGAGGGTATGATAGTACTGGGGTGAATCGATCTGACTGGACCAGCTGTAGGAAGAGCACATCGTTACCCTTATGAGCAGAGACCACAGGCTGGGTAGATAACAGGTCGAAGGCAACGGTTGGACGGGAACTTGCAAAAGGTATGGTGATAAATGTTGCCTCTCCATGTTGGTTCCACGTGTTACTCCCGTGCCTCGGAGGCAGACGCGCTGCCCTGGACGCGTCTAGTACGTGTTTTTGCCGCCGTCTCTGGTCCAGGTCCCGCCCGTTTAGGGTAACCAAACTTGGGTCTCCGCAAGCACACACATTCTCGACACAACGGCATAGACTCCCAGCTCATTGTCGACCTCCTCAACCGTGAAATACTCTCCTTTCTACTCTGCCTTCAGGGCTTCATGCTGGTCTTTCTTCTCCTTGCTCTTCGTGTACTTAGCTCAGCGGTCGTCAACCTGCATACTGTCAACGTCGATCGAATCAACGCTTTCGCTTCAAGTTAAACGGTCCTTCAACAATGGCTGCTATCGCCGAACGACCGCCCCTCCCACTGTCTGAATCTTTTCTCCATGATCTCTCCGATGACGACTCCTTGGAGATGCCCGCCTTCAACTACAACTACGACTCCGACGAACCATCACCTCCAACAACCGCTGAACCAGTGACAGCCTTCGCACCTGCTGCGGTTGCCGTCACCTCGACCACTGCAAGCAGGTATCAAAGCAAGATTTCTAATTCAACAGACGAAAATTCTAGAAGGAGTCCGCCGAGTTTGGGAAAGGAAAGTGGGAAGGCGTACGAGAAGCGAACGCCGGAGGGACAGCCTGTTGTGAAACAGCCGAGTTTGTCTGTCAATGCCCAACCTGCAGTAGAAGCAGACGAGATACGGTCGTACGCGACGAGATCCAATGGACCACTCAATTCCAGTGAGACCACTAGATCCACTAAAGGCCTAGGCATCAGTGACAAGAATGAGGTGCGTTGACTATTCTCCAAGTATGAGGCTCAGGCTCACATCCATCGTAGAACCAATCATCCACATTATCTCGCGCTGCTACCATTCCCTCCAATTCCAACCCTCTCGAGACACCTTCGTCCCGTGGTTTTCTGTCATCTTCCTTCAGGAGCGCAAGTCGTCAACCTCGCCTGCTTGGCGGAAAGGCTTTACGCGTTCCTGCTTCTGCGCTCCCATCTGTTGAAGATTCTCCACCTCCCGCAAGCCCACAAGCATCATCATCGCGTCGATCCAGCGAAGCAGCAATCGGGGACAGTCCCCCACCCCCGCCGTATTCATCGCAACCAGAGCGTTCCCCACCAACGGTAGTGCCCAGAGATCAAAGGCCCAGCCTTCGACACCGCAGCCATTCTCGTCCAAGCGATATTGGTTTAGAAGGGCGCAGGAGGAGCGGTGACGGGGATTCTCCTCCCTCGACGCTGGCCGCACCGTCTTTGCGTCGTACAAGTCCAACCGCTCGAGAGCTGCTCCGAGACCATCGGCAAGAAGCATCTGCATCACCTGATTTAGATGGATATTACGGTGACCGCAGCGTAGGTCGTTCGTCCTTGGAACGTCAGTCACGATACGAAGCACCACAAGCGGTACAGCCTGTCACTCGGCCACGTGCACGGACATCGTTGGAAGCAGCCCCACCGGCGATAATCCGGCGAGTATCCCCAGATCTACAGCCCCGATACGCACAGGTTCAGGCTCAGACACCCTCGCCAGAAATGCCAGGCGAACGGGAGTATGCCCGACTCTCTGAACGTTACCGTGGTAGGCATGAGTCTGCTCCGACACAACCAGCATCTTCGCGATACCGCACCTCTACCGCGCTGCCTGACCTTAGCCCCGAATCCCCTGTGTCCCAACCTTCACCTGACACGGAGAACGACAAAGAAAACCCGCGCCCCCGCTGGAAGCTGGGCTATTCGCCCCCTCCAGACCGAGGCTACGGAACAAAACGATCGTTACGCAGCTCCAAGGAATCCCAGGAACGGGAGCAAGAAGCAGGTGACGGCGAATATACTCCAGCCCTTCGTGAGATTGGGAATAACGAAGCACGCAGGGAACTTCGTGTTCCTTCGCGGTCTGCGCCGCCCCTGCCTCCTTCTCAACCTGTTGCACAACGAAGGGACTCTAACCTTGGACTTCCTTCAACCGGCACAATTCGGGCTAGCCACATGGCAGCAGCCGCCCCAATCTCGATTCTCTCGCCGGGCCCAGCCCCCGTGCTAACTATGCAAGCGCCAACACCGAGCGTGCCACAAACCTATCATATCAATCACGAGGAGGCGCCGCAGCTCCAGGCTGCAAAGAGAGCACAGACCTTTTGGGTAAGCATGGACATCGTTAAGACCGCTCAGTTTACTAACGGCTTTCAGGTTAACAAGGTTCCATACGCACGGCTGGATGTTCTCGGCCGCGGTGGTTCCTCCAAGGTTTACCGTGTTTTGACCTCGGATAGCAAGATATATGCTCTCAAGAAAGTCACCCTTGGCGGCGCTGATGACGAGACGCTCAACAGTTATCAAAATGAGATTGCGCTGCTCAACCGACTGAACGGCAACGATCGTATCATTCGCTTGATCGACTCCGAATCGAGCCGCAAGAAAGGCACTCTAGTCATGGTTCTCGAGTGCGGAGAGGTTGATATGGCGAAATTGCTTGAGGAGCGACGAGGTCATCGGCTTCAGTTCCAATGGGTTGAGACATACTGGCAACAGATGTTGGAAGCCGTTCAGGTTATACATGAAGCTGCGATCGTGCACTCAGATCTCAAGCCCGCCAACTTTGTTCTTGTGCGGGGGTCGCTGAAGCTGATTGATTTTGGTATAGCCAAGGCTATCCCTAACGATACCACCAACATCCAGCGCGATGCTCAGGTACGGGTTGTTTTACCTTCACGCACCGAATTACGCGTTGATATGTTCTACAGATTGGTACCGTCAACTACATGAGTCCAGAGGCGATCGAGGATACCAACTTACATAGCGGCGAAGGGAAGCGATGCATGAAGCTTGGCCGTCCAAGTGATGTGTGGTCACTGGGCTGTATCCTCTATCAAATGATCTACGGTGCCCCGCCTTTCCATCATCTCTCAACTTTTCAAAAGATGCGCGCCATCCCGGATCCCAACCACACAATTGATTTCCCGCCTGCTGCCGTGCCCATGGTCCGGGGCGAGAAGGGTCTGGTAGAGGTCAGAACAAGTGACGCTGTAGCCATTCCTCCAGAAGTGTTGGATGTTTTGAAGAGCTGTTTGCAGCGGACCCCCAAAGCGCGCAAAACCATCCCCGAGATTCTCGCATCGCCGTGGTTGACAAAATGGCAACGATCGTCCTCACCGTCTGCTCAGGCCCCCATGGCACCAAGTAGGGGACTCGTATTGCGACCAAACGAGTTCGTTATGACTGTTGCCCATTTGGAAGAGGTACTTAAGCAATCATGTCGCTTCGGTTCCGAACATGGAATGTGCTCCGAAGACACTATCAAACAATGGCGAACTGTGAGCGTATGACACTAACTTTCTAACTATTTGACTGACTTTCTCCCAGAGAATTTTGAGCGCCTTAACAGATTCGGATGACAGGACGGCGTGAAGTTTGCCTTTCTCCGTCCATCATCTTCCACGGTTCATTTCACCATGTCACTTTGCGCAACGTCCAGCATGTGTACTATAGTGCAATAACGACCCACCTCGTCTCTCCTTGCGGTTTTTTGTTGTCTCCCTACAATCACGGGCCCTCACTTCGACGATATCCATCCTCTTCACGTATCCTAGTCTTTTTTATCACGTATGTACCATATCCTGGAAAATTGGGAGATACACGCTCATTGGAGTAATGGAATATTCTTCTGGAGATGCCGGGTGGGGTCCGGTGCGAACCTGTTTTCGCGAGTTGGTTCGAATCTTGCCCAGTTGGTCCCAGTGCCCTTCACTTTACGTGAGGGCATCCAGCTTTTGGGGCACGTCTGGACTCTGGACTCTGGATACAGATGTCAGGGTCCTAAGCTTAGTAATTTAATCCTGCTCCATGTCAAGCAGGCAGGGCAGGGTGCATTGCTCAGCAATTCAATAGCCGGTGCTGCCTAACACCAAATGCGTAAGTCCGATAGATACAATTAGTTAGTGCTCTATCTAGATGTTGTGTAATTATTAATTGATACTACTACACAAAAAACAAGAAAAACAGAGGACTTGGAGGACATCACCTCCAAGCCCATCTATTGTATTTCTACACAGTCAATTTACCAATGACTACAGTTCACGGCCCTTCTCTTACTCTCCCTCTTCATCCGACTCCACCCACCAAGCCTGCTCATCCATCTCCACCTTGCCATCCTTCAGATGTCCATCATTCTTCCTCCAGGCATGCAGCCAGAACCTTGCCCATGTACTCCCTGGCCATTTGCTGAACCTTTTGATGAGCTTCTTCAGGCCAGCGGACTCCAACAACTTGGCATGTTCATACCAAGTTTTGTACTTTCCCTCGAATCCATACACCTCCTTGAAGGCTTGCCCCCAAAGAACATGGCCTGGTGTAGCCTTGTCCATATAGCTACAGATGCAGGTGATGTCACACATGACTTCATTAAAAGTCCGCAACCTGGGCCACGTCTTGTCCAGCACCTCCAGGAGCAGAAGTTGGGCAGGGGAGGATGGCAGCTTGACAGTGATGGGCACAGGCTCTGGCAGTGGTAAAGTCAGGTTGATGGTGCCTTCCCAGTCCATTGCTGTCAGCATGGCTGCTTCAATGCTGTTGATCACATCCTCCACATCTGGCAAATTGTTGGCATTGAGTGTAACCACTCCACTACCCCAGTGTGGACACTTAGGGTTGCTCAGCTTCACATCCTCCACCATCCTGGGCCCAGGTTCAGCATTCCTCAGGTGTATGGGAGCTGGGGATCCATTGTTTACGGCCGGTTGTCTCCTCCAGGATGAGCTTCAGGGAGTAGGCATCATGAAGTTACCAGTCAGAGGTGATGATGGTGGGAGGAGTGGGGATGGAGTCTGCACCAGGGGAGGCTTTGATCCTTGCTTATGGTCTTGAGCCACAACAGGCAGTGCCCTGCCCAGTTCTTTGACTACCTGGGGCCTGTCCTTGTTCACTCTGCCCAGCAGGCAGATCAATAACTCATCCTTTCTGACCTGCACCAGACCCTCCCTTCCCTGACAGTTCCACATCCCCTGCTGCAATTCAAAGAACTTTGCATAGGTGATGTTCTCAAACTTCATCCCAAGGTGTCAGGGCACCAGCTCATTGCTTGGTCAAGAGACATGACTAAGCCTTTATGACATGGAAGTAGCTGGTATACCTTGGCATGTGCTGGAGCCTGCTGGAAGGATTGGATGGTCAGGTGACCTGCTGTGCATGGCTGTGCATGACCTCATATGACCTCATCCTTGGTCATATGACCTGATCACCTGACTAGGCTGAGTAAGCAAGATGTTCTAGCAGGTTCCACCACAGAGGTATAAATATAAGGCCTACTCTGCCTGGGACTGTCTCTTCAGACTTGGTCTCTTAGGATCATCCACAGATACCTATACTGTAGATAGGTCTTAGTCATCAGGTCTACTCCACTTCCTTGTTGCCTGCTTAGACTCTTGGCACTCTTAGGTGAGCAGACTTAGTCAGCCTGTGTTGCCC